CCATAACCCAGAAACCCAGAGAGAAGAGAAGTCACCATCGCCAATAAACAAAAGAAGAAAAAAAAAAAAAAAAAAAAAAAAAAAAAAAAAAAAAAAAAAAAAAAAAAAAAAAAAAAAACAGAAAAATCACAACCACCCCTCCGCCCTCCCAACATAAACCCCCAACGTCAAAATAACCGTATAGACCTCCTCCTCCCCCAACCCCAATCCCACCACCTCATTTAGCACCCGTCTCTGCCTCCCCTCCCACCCCCCAATCCTTAACCCCTTTTTCTCCAGCCCAGCCAGCCCCGTCCATTTCTTCCCGCCACTATTAATGCAGAACACAAACCGGGGATTCTCCTCCGCTGCTGTCCCCGTTCCTTTTTCCTCGCAAGCCTTTCCATTATTGGCCGTAGTTGTGGAGGTATTGGTGTTCGCATCGGAGTCCGTTGATCCCGACGCCGCCGAGACGGGCCTCCGCCCTCCGGGAGTGCGTTTTCTCCATTCGAGGGTTGTGGTGGTGGTGGTGGTGGTGGTGGTGGTTCCGTCCTTGGCGGACGTACTAGTGAATTTATATCCCTTGGGGGATTTGCTCACGTGGTAGGATTGTTGGGTGGAGGGGAAGAAGATTTCATCTGTGCTCCCTGTTGCTGATAGTTCTGTGGGATTGGTTTCTTGGTGTTGAGTCTGTTGATTTTGCTGTCGTTTACATGATGATGATGATGATGACGAAGAAAAGTAGATGACCCCCGCGGTGGTGGGGTAGTTTTCCGATTTCGGGATTGCGGTAGTTTCCCCAGATTGCGCGGCAGGAGGCAGGTCAGTGTACGCGTCACTCTGCAAGATGTAGATATCGCGGGCGTGGAGTTTGCGGGGACATTTGGGGAGATGTTTTCCCTGGATGGGGGGCTGGTAGATGTCGTGGATGGGGAGGACGCGGTGGGAGGTGGAGGAGAGTTGTTGGATTTGGAGCAGGAGACGTGGGAGGAAGCGGAGACGGGGAGTGAATTTGGGAGGGGGGTGGGCGAGAGGGAATGTTTGGTAGGGGGTTTTGGATCTATACAGTTGGTCAGTTGTTGTTGTTGTTGTTTGGGTGGTGGTGGTGGGTGGTGTTGGTGTACCTCGTCTGGCTGGAGACAGAGCTCTCCGAGTCACTATATTGCGAAGACATGACTGATAGATATGGTATCTCTATATCAGAATGATACAAAAGATTGATTGAATCTTGAAAACCATCTATCCGGAAATCACCCACACTTATACCTTCACAAGGCATAAGTAAACTCGTACTCGTTCCCACGCACGGCCGCTGATCCCACACGAACGGGCATTTTCGTACACCACCCACCTACCCTGCAATGGAAAAAAAACCAAGCTTATTCTATTTTCATCATCTTGGCAAACCACTGGGCTGAAGCACCCGAAGAATCAGATTTCTGTTCTCCATCGGAGAATGCATCTCATTCGTTACCCAGGAATACTGTGGGGCGGGAGTATTGGGCAGATGCTCAGATTGGGGTGTCGGATACGGATACGATCGCTGCCGACGGAGGGGCGCCGATTTGCTGTCCTCCGTACGAGTACGACTGATTCAGCGTTTACCTATCTACCTACGGAGTACTTACCTATTTTACCCCTGGTCGGACCTTGGTTGGTATGCGGTCCGGACCTTGTGGTCGCTGCCGCGGTGACTCCGTGGAATAAATTCAACCTCCGTATTCGTTTCCGAGTGCTTCGGCGCCGGGGGCTTGGCTGGCTGAGGCGGTGTCGCCGATGCTCCGACTGATGGAGTGATAGCCACGTTGGCGAAGCGAAGGATGGGGCGGATTTCAAGGATTGTGGATGTGTCAGATGGGTGTCAGAATTGAACTGATTTGGATGCCTGTTTGGGAGTGCTGTGCGATGGCTGACTGCGACGGACGGGTGGTTGTCAGTGTCAGCCTTGTGTGGCTTACGTACGGAGGAGCGGGGCGGCTAACTTGAGGGTAGGTAGCCTTGCTGTGAGTTGGGGTTGAGGTTGGGGGTGAGAGGGGTGTTGATTTGATTATTTCAAGGATTGTGCTCTCTACTCTGTACTGCGATTCTGTGTGTTTTCATTGCCTGTATAGCTTTCTAGTCGTTTCTTTTGAGTAGCTTCGATTAATTTAGCATATGGCGTACTCCGTAGGGAGTGCCTCGATCGTGCTAATTCCGGTCGCTAGTTTAGGCTGGATTCTAGGGTTCTAAGAAGCATCAGATAAGAGCATCTACCTTCACACCTCGACCCAGCATAGACTGTAGCTGTCGAAATGGCAAGCGATCGCAAAAAAAAGCTTCTTGGGAATTAATAGGGAGTCCGCGACGCGTCGTGTTGATCTGATGTAGTGAATGTGTTTGTGAGTTACTGTTCAATTGCATCGTTGATTCCTTAGCTGTGAGCTAGAGTAAAAAGTACAGAAGAACAGGATGAATCAATATTTATGTCAAGACCCAGCCCTGGAACATCGAAGGTTCCATTCCATGTTCCATGGCAGGTTTGCATGCAGCCACCATAAATACCCGACTCCAAAACCCGAGCAGTCCACAAAACCCGCAAAACCCGAGCATCCACACCCCCCAACCAGTCATATTAAATATTTTCCACTAAGCTAACCGTGCCAGGAAGAAGTGGGTCACATAATCAGATGGCCTGACTGCAAAGTAGCACTCGTAGTGTAGCATTTTGATGTAAATCAATAGCCTTATCGCTGTGAAGAAATAAGCTCACCATTTCATCATCACTACTGACCCTCATATAAAGCTACCCTCCCTCCCGCTCCTCCTCCCACCAACTCCATACCATTCTATGCTGCATGCTGTAACCAAAATGCTCACAACCAACACCCTCCCCCCATCCTTCTGCATAGCCCAAGTCATCGGCCTCAGCGGAGCGGCCTGGCTTTCCGGTACATCCCCCCTCCCCAATACCCCACCCCAATACCCCCCACCAACATCTACTAAAAAAAATCTATATAGGAACAATCTACTCCCTATCCTACATCTCAATCCCCACCCTCCTCACCTCCCACCAAGAACACTCCATCCCCCTATCCACCATCACCAAACAATGGGCCATATTATACGAAACCGGGAAGAACCGCGTCCCGCCCATCGCCGTCCTCACCGCCTCCACATTCCTGTATCTGGCGTGGTCGACGAGAGCAAGTACCGCGCTGGCTGCGATCGCGCCGAGGGGCAGTTCGTCATTGTATACGGTTTCTGCGGCGTTGGTGCTGGCCATTATGCCGTTTACAGTGGGGGTGATGAAGGGGACGAATGATCGGTTGAAGGGGTGGGCGGGGCGGGGGGTCGTGGAGGGGAAGAATGGTGGGGAGGAGGAAGAGGTGGTGGGGTTGTTGAGGAGGTGGGCGGTGCTTAATGGGGTTAGGGCTTTGTGGCCGTTGATTGGGGGGATCGTGGGGTTGGTGGCGGGGCTGCCTTGATCTTCTTCTTATTCTTTCTTTTGGTGACTATTCCTTTTTCTATTCCGAAGTGGAGGGGTGTCTTATGGGTTGGTTGGAGTGGTTTATTGGGATGGCGTTATGGTGAACAATTTGAATTATCTGGGGCTAAGACCATGCTGTCGTGTTTGATGGAGCATCGCTACTCACTATTAAATGAAAATGCAGATTTCCGGCTGATTATGAACCTATGTTCGAAATATTGGCCAGCTGTAGATGCGAAGATAGGATGTGGATGTGTATATCCATTGTCATGCAGTTCTTATATACAGGACGCCCCGTTCTCCACCAATTCACCAACGCCGAAAGAACATGAGCTGTGGTCTTGATAACCCGGATCAAGATCTGTCTGTTACTGGTCATAATGATGCCAGTGATTTAGTATGGCGTTGATAATCACCTTACGGATAAGACGGTCAGCACGATGTTCAAGTGATGGAAAAACCTTCTTGCTAGGATTGTGATACCGTGGGGTAGAATCCCATGAATTGATGTTATATAAGGTTTCCATGTGATCAATTCTAATACTGAATAAGCTCTTTACGTGATTATCGAATGAGATCTACGTGATACTTGAATAATTCCGGAAATTATGGAACCCCCTCCTCTCCTAAAAGTCCCATAAATACCTAAAGTCCCCAACACACTTGGAAAGATTTAAAGATTATGCGAGGTATCAGGATTCTCTTACTTGATACACTAATATCTGACCATCAGAACAGAGACACTAGAACCTGCCTCACTATCACCGCTTATTCAGCGGATAAGCATAGTTACCGGTTCCGGTACTAATAAACTCCAACATTCCACCACATCAAGGGATAATATGCATCATTCACTCAATCTCACTTAGACTACGATTCAAGCCACATAATGGCAAGTTCAACCCCCCACAATGGCACCCTGCCATTCGACATCTCCGAATACCCGAAACTCACCCGAGAACAAGCCGGACATCTCCGCCACTTCTACAACCTCAGTTCCGCTATCGACGGGGACTGGCCACACATGGGCTCCCAGGAACCCGCACAAGAGTTCCTCGATGCCTATCGCTACCAACTAGCCACCATGGCCTACGCCTCAGCATTAGCTCACTACCACCGCATGCCCGCCATGCGCGGACTCTTCAAGCCATTAATCCGCCGCTTGATTCACAAGATGTTCCGCCGTGAAGTATGGGGATACTGGTACATCACCTCCCAATCCGGAGTGAGGCTGGACCCGGATCTAAAGGAGCTACGCAAGCCCTGGGCGAACCCGGTCATCCGCGAGAATATCATGTACAGTGGTCATTTGTTGCTAATGACTAGTCTGTATGCGATGTTGTTTGATGATGATGAGTTCGAGCGGCCCGGAAGTCTGACCTTTCACTGGAACCCGTTGTTCTGGGGCATGGGCCCGGAGACGTTCGAGTATGATAATCGCAGTTTGCAGCAGGCGATCGTGGATGAGATGGAACGGAATGGGTGGGTGGGGGTGTGCTGTGAGCCGAATTTGGTCTTTGTGGCTTGTAATCAGTTTCCGGTTCGTGGGAGGATTTCTGCTTGTTGGGTCTGGCTGATGGGAGTAGATTATTGCGATGCATCTTAATGATGCGCGGGATGGGACTAGCGTGGCGAAGGAGGTTCTGGGGAAGTATAGGCTCGCGCTGGAGCAAAAGGAGATGATTTCGCGGGAGGGTTTGTATAAGGACTGGATCAGCGTTAAACAGGGTCATCGTGCGACGCCTCATAGTATTGGATTGACTGCTTGGTAAGAGTCAAGGCACCAGCTGCTCTGCTCAACTAACATACATGCGCAGGGCGGCGGCATTCATGAACACCTGGAACTCGGGATTTGTCCGGGCAGGTTTCCCCCATCATGCCAAAGGATTCATCACCAACATTGACGGACAAGTCGAACTGCAGCATCCCATGGTCGCCGGTGCCTACCGTGCCGCCTTGAAGGGCGATCCAACTGAATCGCAGGACTCGGCGCAACTTCTGCAAGCCGCGCGGGAATCCTACAAGAAAAATCGATCGACCATCCTTTCCCCTTTCAAAGAACCGACATTCGGATATGTCGTCAAATGGCTATCGGAGCTGGGCAAAATTACGGAGCTCAACGGACTCCTAGCATACGCCGATAAGCATCTTCAGCCGACGTGGGAGTATGGCGGTCTTTATTACCCCCGGAATGATGTGGCGACGGATGAGGACGGCCGCTGGACGCATATGGATCCCTTCACTGGAAACTCTGCAATCGGCTATGCACGATTAAATGTTGAGAATGGGCAGAAGATTATGATGGACGCACCGTGGACGACAAAGTCTTTGGCGAACCGTCCGTATGTGGATGGGTTAGACTTGTCGCAGGGTGTCGATTGTCTGCGAGGAGTGTGGGATCCGCATCGCGCGGCACTGATTCTCACTTTCCGGGAATGGACGGGTCAAGGAGCGAAAGTTGCTTTCGACGTGAAGAATCTTCCCTCGGGTCGCTGGAAGGTGCATACTTCGCAAGGAGGCCGCACGACGCATGAGCTGTTGAAAGGCGGACAGATTGCTGTAGCCACGACCCTTGATGGCTGTGAGGAGGTGGATATCGTGGTCACTCGGACTTGTGATCGTTCTAGCGGCTTGGATGCAGAAACGCTCTTTTTCTTGTTGGGCCTGGATATGCCGCATGGGAGGGGTCTTTGTTGAACTTCTGTACTGACCTATAATTTGGCCAAGTATGATTTTGATATGACAATTTTCGGGGCACAAGTAGAGGTTACTTCCGTCATTCATAATTACGGCATCACAGTTACAGACTTCTTGTGATTTCATTGAAGCTTCCGCTCCCAGCGTTTTCGAGTTTGGCTACTTGGAATGAATCCTCCTTGCCTTCTGGTCCGGACTCCGCTTTTGTTATTCGTGCCCCTCAACTCAAAGAATCGCTATGGAATCTCACAATCTAGCTTGTTCTAATATCCGAACCTATTCCATTTTAGTATATAAAGTACTGTCAAATGTTGACAGTTGCCCCTTTTGTAAGAAACAACCCCCATGCGAGATATAGGATTTAAGAGCAGGAAGAGTCTACGCATAGCGTCACCGACCACTAAAGTGACCACTTTGCACACAACCTTGGATGTCTTAACCCCATCAGCCAGGACTGCTTTATCGAAAAACTAAAGAAAGGGGAAAAGATAAAAACATACAACAGAAGATGCGTTGCTACTTTAGTTATCTGTAGATTGATTCGGGGCGCTCTCGGCGTCCTAGTAGACCCCTTTAATATATTGTATTACTGAGACGGGTTGACCCGGACAGCTAAGCTAACCAGATGTGAAGTTTTAATCTTATTCTTATTCAGAATCTGTATGTCTTATCTTTCTTCTCGTTTTTGCTCCTCTTTCAAACTTATACTGCTATTATAGTGGTATAATCAGTACGTTTATAAGCCTATTAGTTTACTCCCATCTTCTTGGCCTTTTTAATTATTCCTAATTTCAGTCAAGTACTGAGTGGTCAAATGTTGATGTATCTAACATCGTGCATCAGGTGATCACTGACTATATTGGAGGTTGTATAACCGGAGGAATATCACTCCGAGTCTTCGACAAACTCTCCGAATTGGTAATACATACCTTGTCCACGGTACTTCCGGATCCAGTACTAGGTACTAGCATCTAGTATCAGAGAGAGCGAATATAAAGCTACTTGGGACTCTGATTTCCTTCCATGTCACATCAGCCCTGTTCATCTCATTTATTTTCTGCGAATCTGGCACAGCATACAATGTCGACCACCGCCCCCTCTCTTATAGTCGTCACCGGAGCCACCGGCAACCAAGGAGGCGGCGTCGTCCGCGCGCTGCTGGCCTCCAAAACCCCAGCCGGAGGTCTCTGGCATGTCCGGGGTCTCACACGAGACCCCAATTCCACCAAGGCGCAGAAATTCCTAGCCGACAATCAGACCATCGACAACCGTCTTTCCCTCATCACGGGGCATGTATACGACCAATCTTCCCTTGAGAACGCATTCGCAGGCGCACATGGCGTGTTTGCCGTGACATCCGAGACCCAGACGGGCAGGATTCTAGAAAACGAAGAGGAGATGAAACATGAGATTGACGCCGGGCGGAATATGGTCCTGGCGGCGGAAGCGTGTCGCGTCAGACACTTTGTCTTTAGCAGTTTGCCGGATATGGTTGAGGCAACGGGGGGTCGGTATCCGAATATTTATCATATGAATAATAAGCATGAGGTTGAGAAAATTGCGAGGGAACGGCTGAGTGGGGTGACGTGCCTTATTCCAGGTTTGTCCTCAGCAGCCGCGCCATCCGGTATCGGGGTATAGATGTGCGTGTTTACTGATAGCGAGCTGCGCAGGGTTCTTTTATACGAACCTGAGATGGCCTCATTATTCGGACCGTCGATGTAAGTTTCCCTCAGATATCTGGACATGTACAGACTAATGTGGTGATCATAGCGGACGGAGTCGTTCGATTCCGTATCCCCATCCCAGGTGGCCAGGTTGCCCAGTGGACTGATCCGATCCATGACATGGGGATTTTTGCAGCGAGTACGTCTATCTTTCCGAACTGGATAACACAGCGACCCATAGAGCTTGAAGCACAACTGACATGACGCCTCATTGTATAGAAGTGTTCAACCTGGGCGTCGAAAAAACCCATGGAAAGACCTACCTTGTGCTAAGCCCTCGTGTCACACCAGATGACATGGTGACAACATTCACCAAAGTCACTGGCCAGCCCGCAATTCACGACCCGATATCTGCCGAGGAATTCGGGGAGCTGACGGCTCCCTTTGTCGGACCAGCGTTCAAGCAAGATGCCCAGGACATGATGGAATGGGCTGCGGTGGCGCCAGCCGATAGGATTTGTTACGGGGCCTTTACTGAGGATCAGGACCGCTCGTTCGAGGAGCTAGGTCTGAAGGCCTCCTCTTTTGAGGAGTGGCTTCGCCGTAGTGGCTGGACGGGTCCTGCGTGAGGGTTGGAGTTGAGCGATTACATGTATATCTTACATGCCACAACAGGACACTCTGAGGTCCATAAATGAAGAATATGTCCATATAAACTGGTCTACGCGATCAGAATCAATATGCGACCGTGGAAACATCGCTTAACAGTATCCCATCCTCACTACACCACAGCAGCATCTCCCATAACCGCCTAGTATCATTTCCACACCAAATCACAGCATAGTGCACCTATCCCCTACCCAAGAACCCCAACAAAGCACTACAGATTCAAACGTCTACACCCTACACTCCCCCGACCACCACCAGTCTACACAGCATATCAATCAAGCCTCATCAGCCCCACAGATTTAGCCATGCGCAAATCACAGAGGTGCATTAGCGCCATTGCAACCCATGGTCCGTGCACACTTAGAGCCATCCCAGGTAGAGGTGCATTCGTGTCTTTGAAACTGTTGGTCTGTGCGCGTGTTACTGAGTGGATGGGTGGATGTTGCGGCATCTTATACAGAGTATGGAGTATGGAGTACGGAGTACTGAGAGGAATATGAGGACTATATGGGTGGGTGCGAGTGCATGCTTGCCGCAGTTGATCTTGAGTCTCTGGGGGGGATGTGTTTGGTGGTAGGTAGAGCTGAGGATAATTTCGGATGTATGCTTACCGCAGTTGACATCCCCTCCATGTAGGAGATCTGATTGGTGCTAGGCATAGCTCTAGTAGGTCTGCGGGTGTATGCTTGCCGCAGTTGACATCCCAGATGTAGAATCAATATGATTGGATAGGTATAATCCTAGTAGAGCTCCATCGGATGTATGCTCACCGCAGTTAGCATCCCGCCCATGGAACAGATGTGATTGGCGCAGGCCGTGCAGCCTAGGATTCCATGGGCGGATGTATGGAAACCGCAATTCATATCCCAGATATTGAATCAGTGTGATTGGGCAAGTACAGCTCGTGTACAAGGCCATCGAGTGTATGCATACCGCAGTTAACATCTCCTCCATACCCCCAAGATGATTGGTGCAGGTCCTGCAGCTCTGGGACAGACTGATCGGATACATGGATACCGCAATTGACATCTCCTCTGTGCAGGAGGTCTGATTGGTAGAGTGGTACAGGGTAAAACTCTCATGTAACATTAAGATGACTTGATCGGAAGCATGCTTGCCGCACTTAACATCTCCTTTCTGCAAGGGTTCTGATTGGAGGTAGCTACAGCTTTAGTGCAACACTCGGAAGCATGATGACCGCAATTACCATCCAGGATATAGAAGAAATCTGATTGGTGGTGAAGTGCAGGGTCTAGCTTGAGAGTAACTCTGTTGGATGTATGCTTGCCGCAGTTGACATCTCCTCTGTACATTGAACATGATTGGTAGAGATGCACACCCTGAATACTAAGCTGCTGGTCGGATACATGGATACCGCAGTTGACATCTCGCCTGGGGAAGAGATCTAATTGGCGGACTGGAGCAGATCCCGCATGTACTCCATACTACTCCGTAGAGTGAAATCATCGGATACATACATACCGCAGTTGACATCTCACACCCAGAAGAACTCTGATTGGCTGAGATGCACAATCCCTGCTGCTTAGAGCAGCTTTCGGCTGCATAGATACCGCAGTTGACATCTCCCGCATGGAACAAATCTGATTGGTAGAGAGATCCCTGCATTTTTAGACTTTTTCGGCTGCATGCTTGCCGCGGCTTACCTTCCCCCTGTTTCAGTCCTTTGAGAAACTTTGTCGGATACATGCAACCCGCAGTTGACATCTCGTCCGTAGAGCATATCTTATTGGTGGTTATATGGAGGGATCGTCATTCTGAGGTAGTCTTACTTTCAAGTATGCTTATTGCGAAATTCTCAAACATCAAATCCTCGATGGTCTAACGGTCATGATTTCCGCTTGTCAATCCCATTCAGGAACAAGCGCGGGAGACCTGGGTTCGACTCCCAGTCGGGGAGAATCTTTTTTGTTTTTTTTTTTGGGCCGTACGGCATCGCCTGCGGGTAGACTCGCTCGGATCTCTGCCCTGAACTCTACCCGCGAGTACCGTGGTTTCCCCAGCCTTACGGGCTCTGACCCATAGTAGCCGGCCCTGCCCCTGACACACTGCGCCAGCACATCACAGTGGGAGGAGCGTCCAGTTAATTTGTCTCTATGCACCTCGAAAGGACCCAGAGATTCTAGTAGGCGCCCGTATTTGAATACTATTACCCACTACTAAGAAATGCGACCGTGGGAATATCATGTGGCACTACTCCATCGGGCCCAGAACTTTAACACCTGTGGCTTTCTATGCATGCTAGCTAACATATATATCTCGCCACATGAAGACTATAGGGAGGTCCGAAAGACCCAACCTTGAGGACTCTGCTCCAAGAGGGGGCCTTAGGTAGGCATCTATTCCCAGCGACGAATGTGATGCCCAGCTGGCATGATCAGACAGTGCTATGTGGAAGGAACAGAGTTATGCTGCAGTAGAATACCTCTAGCAGTGTTAGAACGACTCCATCGCATGTCTACATGCCGCAGTTGACATCTCGTCTCCAGAAGATATATGATTGGTAGATGAGCTGCATCCCTGCATGTGAAGCGACTCCATCTAGTCCACGGTCGGATGTCTGGATACCGCAGTTGACATCTCACCTCTAGTAGAGATACGATTGGTAGATAGACTGCACCCCTGCAAGTTTAGAGCGACTTGATCGGAAGTCGGGATACCGCACTTCCCACCGACTAGCCAACAATTGGGTGATAGATAGGTGCGGTCCATGCCGGCTTATCGCCTACCTGCTTACCGCAGTTGACATCTCACCTCTCAGAGGAATATAATTGGTAGAGGGACTGCACCCCTGCAAGTTTAGAGCGGCTTCATCGGAAGTCTGAATACCGCACTTCCCACCCATTAATGAATAGAAGGTGGTAGATGCAGTCCAGGCGGACTTGTCGCTTGCTTGCTTGCCGCAGTTGACATCTCGACTCCCGGAGAAATATAATTGGTTGCTAGGCGTTGATCCCTGCAGCTTGAGAGCGACATCATCGGAAGTCTGGATACCGCAGTTGACATCTCCCCCGTATAACCGGTCTGATTGGTAGCAAGCACACCCTAGAGCCACTGTGCATCGGATACCTGGATACCGCACTTCAGTCTTCACACCTTTGGAAACGATCATTGGGTAGTAGATGTAATCCAACAGCCCAACTCCATAGAGCACCTCATCGGATACCTACATACCGCAATTACCATCTACCCTCAAGAAGAGCCCTGATTGGACGCTATATTTAGAACACCTTCTCGGAGGCATCGATACCGTAGCTCACACCCAAGAAAACAATTGGTTGGTAGATATAATCCCTGCTGTTTTAGAGCAACTCCATCGGATGTCCAGATACCGCACCCTCCCATGTTCAAAGAATCTCATTGGTGGGCTAGGCACAGGATCCAAAGTTTTAGAGCAGCCTTGCCTGAAGTGCATTAGTGGTTTTATCTGTTGGTCCGTGCATGGTTGAGGTGCATAAATAATTCGCTCTAGTGATGCAGTGTGGTCTGTGCTCTTAATGAGGCTCTTTGACGATAGGGATCTGGTTGGTGGATTGGATGCTGACCCACAGGTTAGAGCCATCTTAGGTAGAGGTGCATTAGTGCCTGGTTAATGGGCCCACTGACTTGGTCCGTGCAGGGTTGAGGTGCATATGGAAATGGCTCTAGTGAGTGACATGTGGTCTGTGCTTTGTTGAGGTGCATGCGCATATTGCTACCATGCATGAGAGTGAAACAAGTGGCTTGTGAGTCTAAATGTGTCTGAACGTGGCTGAATCACCGCAGTACTAATTTCCTCGCCACATCTCCATTAGTCCTCCATCCAACCTCTCGCACGCACTCCACAGGACTGGCTTTCCACTCTGCCAACATACTCAAGACGTCTGGATTCCGATGCCATTTATATCGCTCCAGTTGATCCAGGAGGAACTCGGCAATGTCCACTCTCATGAATTGTGTGAACGGGTTTGGCGTGGTTTCGAGATCCCGTCCGATTGCCAGCATGCATGCGCATACATCCGCTTCCTTTATTCCCTCCACAAGTGCATCCTTGAATTCACTGCCATATGCAATGTAGGAAGGGCCTTGGACGTGCTCGTCAAGGAGACGGATGATAGAGCTTGCAAATCCCTCGTATCGATCTTTCGCTGACGGATTCAGCTGCGGGTAGGGAAGTAGGTGTATCTGCATCTGGAATGGGGTCGGGAGAATTGGAGGGCTACGGGCTGGATTCTTCATCCATCCTTCAGTCCGCAGACCTTCAGCATACTCCACGATCCTGCGGCCCAAGGGATGTAAGGAGGGCTCGTTGGGGAGATCTAGACCATCGATATCGCGTAACAATGTTAGGCTTGATACACGAAGGTTACAGTCGTTATCGAAATGGAACGGGTTACGAATAGCAATGGCAGCCCGCCGAAATAACTCATCTGCAACATCTTGCTTGGTGATTCCAGCGGGAATCCTGGATTGTTGATCTCCCTTGAGGAACCTGCGGAAACTGACACGGTTCTGCAACGTGTAGTTCCCAGAGGATAATCTCGACCAGTGACTGGCTGCGTTGGTACCGCGCCATGGGCTATCAGGCGAGTTCAGTTTGTCATTCATGGCTTCGTGCTCAACGAAAAAGAGGTATGCGCATGCAGATATGCGGTCCTCGAGGAGAAATGATTTAGGGAGGTACAGAATCTTCCACGCCTCGGAAAGCTTCTTCGTCAACTCGTGATCGAAAGGCCCGATATTCTCAGCGGAAGGTCCTTCGGGTACGGATCCAACCTGCCGAATAAACGCACGCATCCACCGACTATGCTGCCGACCCAGCTCCTGGACCAGAAGCATGACAGCTGTTTGGAAGTAGTCTCCGAGATAGCTTTGCGGAAGTTTATCGGGGGCAATTTCGGTGAATAAGCTCAGGAGTGGCCGATCTTCATTGACTTCCGGAAGATCACCGCCTCGCTCTGCCTCCAACCACTGCTCTTCGGACGTATGGATCCTCTCGTTTGGCTGGGCGGCAGCGTGCGTCCAAGACTTGAAGAGCTGATATGGCGCACGGTTGCCGCTGTTGGTGATGGTGACATGCAAGAGTGCCTTGCAGGTCGCCACTCGTACGTCGATTTGTCGACTAACCTCAAATAGGGAGCGTAAGATGTTGATCTGAGATGCCATCGAAATAAAATCACTCGGTGCTACCAACTGAGCTAGCATTTTGACTGTGGTGATTTTAACGAGGCTCTTCTCCGCAGCCTTTTGCTTCTCCAGTGACCCCAAGATAAAATCAGAGAACTCCTGTAGCATTGTTTCGGCACTATCATGGTCCAAGACCCTTCCAAGAGAGAAGGTCAAGGCATTTCGATGTCTCGATGATGCATCGGGAAGCTCCTGGACGACTTTCAACCCAAGATCAACCGCCAACATGGGCTGGTCTGACTTCTGAAGCAATTGCAAGACACGGAATGCGCATCGCTCCACTAGAGGATAGTTGGAGGAGGTGTTTGGAAGCTGGAGCAGAGACTGCTGAAACGCGGCTCCCAGGGAATAGAGAATAGAGGAGGGTACAATGACCAGTAGCCTTTCGAGGAGAACAAAGGCAGCATCCACAGCCATTTCAGAGTCATCAATGGCGGACAAAAAGCTGCCACTCAATTGTACTGCTGGGTATCGCACGTAGGAGCTCGATTGAGGGAAAGCTTGGCATAAGATGGGTTGCCGGTATTCAACCTGTTGCTCCACAAATAGAAGGGCAGATGTCACGAGAGCATCTTGAGTAGAGAGGGGATACGTTGCAAAGTTTTCTCCCGACGACCAGAGTTCAATGAGATCCGTGTCTGTAGTCTTCCATGGTTCCGGTGGGAAATCATAATCGTCCCAGTCTTCAAGGGTGATATCCTCCTTGGCGGCGCTAAAGCGATATTGGAGTGTCGTAACGGAACGAGACTGTGTGTCATAAGTCTCTGCTGACCTGGGATCCCACTCTACAGCATGGCAACGGGAAGGATCAAGAACGATCGGGGATACTCGAGGGGCTCGGCGAAGTCTATTCCGTAGTTTGGGCAAGCTTCTTGATCGAGACAAGTCGACAAACCAATCTCTCAATGTCTCCAGATGCCCAATGTTGGATGGTATCGAGTCACTGTAGTGTTTCCAAGCGTGTTCGGCTCTGGTCGCCCTGTGAGAACCATTCCCAACATATGACCGGATGGCAAACGTGAGACTATCAGCGAACAAGCCGAGAACTTGCCTCTCATCGCGGATCTGGTGTGCGGCAGTGTTGGGATTGCTGAAGACAACGCCCTTCAACCGAGCAGAAACAAATGGAGCAGCACCTTCGTTCGCTAGTGCTGCCGATGCCCATTCCTCGGACGGCAAAAGGTACTGAATGGGTAGCCCGTCTGGCCATCCATCCTCCGGAGTTGCCAGCTTTGGCCCCCGTTGCGAACGCTCTTGTGTCCAGAGTCGGTCTCGCTGACTGGCCAATAGGTCCAAGAAAGCCAAAACGCCTTTCCACGGTCTTGGTGGACATGCCATATTGTCAAGTGCACCACCCAGACCGCTCCATCCCAGCCTTTCGCGTCCCTTACATATTCCGGCCTTTTCATAATCCAGAATGACTGGCACTAGGGATTCGAGCAAGACTCCAACGAGCTGATCCTCGTCACCTACACCAAGGTAGAAAAGACTCTTGAGCTTGTTGATTCGTCGCTCCACGACAGAGCGGATCAGTTGTCGCAGATCCAAATCCTGTCCCTTCTTGTATGATGGTTGTCGCAACATCTGTAGCGCAGCCTTAATGTGATAGGCGAGCACCGAGTTGGCTGCCTTTGTCACTTCCTCGAGCTTTTCGAGAGATGGATAGGAGTGATGAGGCAGCTCAACGACGGATAGCACAAGCGCTGCATCATCCGAGTACATGCACCTAGCCAATGGCTTGCTTGTGTTCTAGATGGGTCAGTATCGCAAATCACTGACGGATTGAGTAGACCTACCGGATCGTGTGCAAAGCGACTTGTCCACTGCGCAGCTTCCCGATAAACAAAGACTGACCTACTCATGAGGGCCGTCTCGATGGCTTTTGTGGCCCAGTTCAGCCTTTCTTTCTGATCTCGAGCCCTCTCTGCTCTCAGTCTGCAATCGGCAACCACCGAGAACGCCAATGGACTCCCCTCACATCGAGGATTCCTGGATTCCCATTCCACCTCACATAGGCTTTCATTAAACCAAGCCAGGTCATCCTTCCAATTGACCCACGGTTCTTTCCGTGTGTCACATTCCAATGCATCCCCGCCCTCCCGTAAGCTCCGAACCCGCCGAAACATACTTCTGGAATCAGCCTCCGTGAGGCTGAGGAGGAAATATGCACTCCACGGCAAGAGCGCTGTCTCTTTGCTGGAAGGATTCGGGGAATGAACATCAATATCGATATTGCAGTGGTGGCGGTAGATTAACCTTGTCAAGGGCAGTCGTGCCTCCGGGGGGATACTGTCCATGTAGGGACGGAAAGCCTGGCGAAGCATGTACGAGAACGAGCCATAGGAGTCAATCTCGTTCGTAACGCTTGAAAGCGCTCCTATGAGTGTGGCTTCCAATCTCGTCTTGTGTATAGCTTGCGGTCGAGAGGGGTGCGATAATTGTCGTTGACGTTCTGCGGGTGAGATATCAGCCTTGATCGAGGCATCAGGAAATGCCGCAGTGGCCCACAACCGAACCACCAGAGCCAAGAGGGGTCTCCATTGCCCTAGTATGGTTCTTAGCTTGTCCTTGGCTGCCATGATAGATTCGAGAAAGACAAGGATGTCAGAAAAGTCGGCCTTGGAGCGAATTGCCCCTTCTATCCCAGCCGCAAAACATTCTAGAAGGCGTTCCTCAGAATAATTCTGTGGTGGATAGGCTTGGAAAGATTTTACAAAATCCAGCCCAAAACCAAGTACTCCTGGCACTAGTAATTTGCTAGGATAGCCTCCAGAACCATGATAAGGCCTCAAGGATCGGGTAATTTGTAATAAAATATCGCTGTTTAACAAACTCTCGCGTACATGCGGGTGTACAGAGACACCACGGGCAGCCACCCGTCGAAGGAAAATTTCCCGGCATTTGGAGAGTTGAAGAAGGATTTCATCCACGGGGAGTTCGTCCGCGTGCCTGTTCGACAACGCCTTGGCAAGAAACGCATCGCGACAACCCCAAAAAAGCGGAACCAGGGCGCGAAGCAGCGGCCGACCTGCCACGATTGGGCTCTGGTCTGCTATCAACCCGGGGATCAAGAGATCCACTAGTTCTTCCACGGCTTGTGATCGAACGTCGTCTTTCATTGCTGAGCCACCAATGACCTTGGCCAAAGCCCGGACCTCGTTGACACTGACATGATCAAAGATCTGCTTCAATCCGGGAGTCCCGCCAACTGCGTCCCAGCCTTGTGTTTGCCATGCGGGGGAATTGAGTGCAACCTTGAAACTGCTTATTCCCGCCAGGCGAACGCCGCGGGAGGCTTTGTCCAGGAGGGCAAGACGGAGGAGGAATGGGTGTCGCTCAGATGCAATTGTCAGCCATACCTTGTAGATCTGTGGAATGAGGCCACCGCTGTAGACGTAGCTCCGGAGAGCAGCATTGACCTGAGTTGCCCATGATTCCGAATCATTTGCTGTAACGAGAGAATGGAAGTAGGATGCTGCGTCGGGGAAAGTCAGTCGGAAGAGATCAGAGCGGAAGCTGAAGTCTGACATTCTTGCCGAGCAACTTTGGAGAGAGAAAATAATAAGGTGTGAGAGAAAGAAAGAGAGAGAAAGAAGGAGAGGGAGAGGCTCAAGGTATGATAATAAGCAAGCCAGCCGTCAGACCAACCGGTCGCGGCTAAACCTGTTAGGGATGCCGACGTCTGCCCGGGGCGCTTCTCAGTTCTCAGCCTTGCGCTGTGGGTTTCTTGTTCTGCCCGCCTCCACCCCACCGCTCAGCCACCAGCTCAGCGGCTTGGTGTGTGGACTCTGCACGCAAGAGCTGTGAGAAATACTACGAAGGAAGCCCCAGAAACCATTCAGTGATAAAAGGTCTGGTCTGCTTTCCTGTCTCTACTTCTCGGATACCGCGACATGACAAGGCTGACTGATGTTATGAATTCAACCCACATTATTCGCAGATGAACACCGCCGTATCGGTTGGTGGGGCGCCATAGTAGGGGATAGTGCTTATCCAAAAAGGTACATTTCAAATGTTATGACCACGTGCTCAGCGAATTCAGGCTTACAGAAGGTTCCATCAATGACCCCCCCAGTTAAACCACGACCGACGCTCTAGCATTGCCTCCCACAGCACCCTTAACACGGAACCTCTCCAGCAGCCCCGCCAACGCATCCCGTCGCTCATTCATACTGGCCAGTTTCCCTCGCTGGATCTTCCCACTGACTGTACGTGGGATCCGATCAACAAAAAACACCCCCCCATCCAGCGCCTTGTATCCCGCCAGTCGATGGCGCACAAACGAATACACCTCCTCAGACGAGAGCTTGGCTCCCGCCGCCCGTACTACGTACGCGCGAGGGGCCTCTGAACCATCTGGAAGCCGAATTCCCATGACGGCCACGTCCCTGATTCGCGTGTCTTGGAGGAGCACCGCTTCCAGTTCTGCTGGGCAGACCTGATACCTAACAGAGCATAATATTGTTAGCATGCCACGGCCGATACTGGGCACAAGAAGAACCTACCCTCGTACTTTGATTAACTCCTTGGTCCGACCAACGATGAAATACTCCCCATTCTTGACATATGCCAAGTCACCCGTGTCGAACCATCCTTCACCATCGATCATAACCTCACTACGTCCCAAGTATCCCGTGAACAGACCAGCACCTCTCACATACAACTGCCCCGACACTTCATCAACCTCAACCCGAGATGCACCAGAAACGAGTTTCGCCTCCCAGCCCGGAGTGACTGGGCCAATGCTACCCAGATCACCTTGTCCCAGTCTTCCTTGGGAGGGGTAGCGGTGCTGAAAGACGACCCCACATTCTGTCATCCCCCAGACTTGTCCTGCGCAGGCGTCCGGGTGCAGGAGATCCTGGAAGGTGGTCATGGAGGCGCGGTTGATGGGGGCGCCCGCTACTCCAATGTAATGGAGGGAACTGAGCATGGATTTCGGCTCCAGGAAATCGGGGGCTTGGTTGAGCATATGCACCATGACAGGGACGAGGTAGGTTTCGCTGATCTTGTGGCGGTGCACGGTGGAGAGAAAGAGGGGCAGTTCAAACTCGCGGAGGATGTAAAGGGGGTGGCCGTAGCGGAGGGGGAAGAGATGCGTCCAGAGGGAGCTGAAGAGATGGAAGATGGGGAGGGAGATGAGACGCGTTACGTTATAGGATGGAGAATGAGTTATGGAGGCGTGCTGAGCAATGAGAGAGCGATGGGAGAGCACGGCGGCTTTGGGGAGACCTGTAGTGCCACTGGTCGAGTAAAGGGCTGCTGGGGTGGAAGCTGCACTGGATGAATCAGGGATGAGGAGTGGGGGTGAGGTGCCATGGGAGAGGAGGGAGAGAACATTGGTATTGTTTGTCTTGTGAGGAGGAGTCGGGGACTGGGTGTGGGCAAAGCGAATGGTATCGACGAGAGTGATATCGTCAAGGAGGAGAACATGATCGAGGGAAAGGTGGTGCTTGTCAGCAACAGTGGTCACCGTCGGAAATGCCTGAGACTCTGTGATGATCCACTTGGGCTGGGTGAGTCCAACGACATGGTCCAACTCGTGCCCCTGGCTATGAGGATTAGAGCCCATGTAGACTCCCCCAGCGTCGATGATGGCGAGAAAAGAGGGCCGTGTAGAGAACCTGAAGGGAAGGGAAAAAGGTAAGAAAGGGCTGGAGTCAAGATGAGGACAGACGTATGTTGTTTCCCATATGGACCAAGACACAATCGCCGGGTTGCATGGCATTTGCTTTGAACCCGGCAATCAGAGAGTGCACCAGGAACCGGAACTGGGTGGCATTGAGGGATAGAGAGGGCTCATGTGCATCGATAAACAAGGGCTCGCATGGGTCGTACTCTGCCTGAGCCTCCAAGGCGAAGGTGACCACGTCACGAGAGAGGGGAGTGTTCATGGAAGATAAGAGGGGTGAGGAGCAGCAGGGTGAAAAGCAGGACGAAAAGAAAAGGTCTTGGAGCAGCATGGCTTCTTATAGCATGCCTCCCGGAAGTAAGCCGGGGCTTACGGAGTAAAGGAACGCCGGCGGCATCGCCGTATGGGTGCAAACGCCTTTCAAACAACCCGGAGCTCGCCAACTACTAGACAGTCCTTCGACTTACCCTCACACTCTCCATCACCATCGCTGCCTCATTGCCTCCTTGATCCCGACAGTCAAGTGGTGTCGGACTACGTTCCCTTCAGGACATCACTGGCAGTGTAACACTGCAACTCCAGCCGTCCTCGACGATTGAGATGAAATCTGGTGACTTCCCTGGCCGTGTTTATGGCAGAATCCTGGTATATTCGGTTTATACAATGACACTTACTGTTTGAATGCACCCAGGATAGTCCCATTCAACGTCCCATCGCGCAGCGCTTCATACACAATTGATATCCAACCCCCAACCGTCTTCTTCACTCTTCCATTGATCATCTCCGGTAAGTCACCATTAGCCGCCGAGGGATGCTCAATAAAGCCCTGGTGGAACGGGATTCCCAGCTCATGTCGAATGCTTGTGTAGATTGCCTTAGTCCCCACTCCGAGATAGTCAGCAGTGGGTGGTGAAGCGCAGAATTCGGCGAGCACCTCTCGGTAAACAGCCTCCAGCTTCAGGATATTGACAGTCTTCCATGCGTTGATGGCCGAAAACAAGTGGGAATCTTGGCGATTGGGTGACACCAGGTCTCCGAAGAAGACGGGAAGGGACGCCTCGACCACACGCTGACAACGATCACGCAGGTCGAGTCGCGAAGTTGATGGCCAGGAGCTCTGGATCGTCTCAAACAAGCGTTGTGATAAACTTTCGATCTCACATGGTTCGAGCACCTGTTCGAAGGCTTCCTTTGTGGTTTCTGTGATGGTCTGTAGGAGTCTCTGGAAGAAGCTGAGCTGAAGCACGCGCAGATCTAGTGCTTGGCACGCAACATAAAGGGAACACGCTCCCATAATCGAGACAATATCGACTGCTTTCATGGTATATCGTGCTGAGAGGAAGGCCAGAGAGTTCAGGGCCTGGTTCTGCATCTCTGCGGTCTGCACGTGCGTGCTGACCGGATTCGCCAGATATGCCAGTTCAGACATATATGCGGCCATATTGATATCTACCCCTTTCATTGTGAAGGAAAGGCTAGGATCATCAGCGACTAAATTCGTGGGCAGACCATTGTTGAGAGTGGGATCGATCATCTCATTGCATTGAACGAACAACATCTTCCCAAACATCTGTAACGCCAACCGAGTCTTCTCCATCGCGGATGTGATTGAAGTTGCCTGGAAATTACCCCCCGTGTAGAAGGTCTTCGCGCCAGCGTCGATGAGAGGATTATCAGAGGTCGAGTTGAGCTCAACTGAAACTTGCCGATCCGCAAGCAGAAGATCTTCCAGTTGAGGTCCAATCCACTGACTGGCCGTCCGGAGGGAATAACGGTCCTGTACAAGCCCGGTCCTGGCTTGAGAAGCACTGCTTCCTCTAACAAGTCGAGAACCTCTCAGAACTGACAGTATATTCTCTGCTGCTTCAATTTGGCCTGCGTGAGGACGGACTTGGGCGATAAATGGATGAAAGCTCTCTGCGCTTCCTTGAATGGCCTCAACTGTGAGAGCGGTGACTGCCTGGGCAAGTACAGCTAGCTGATGTGCTTCATAGAGCACCAGGCCGGCCAGAGCACCAGAAGCGGCCGTGCCATTGACGAGGCCGAGGGCTTCTTTTGGTCCCAGCGTGACTGCTTTAGCACCCACGGCTTGCAGCGCGTTTTGAGCGGTGATGGTCTGATGGTCACCAACACGCACGAATATCTCCGGACTCCCTTCAATGGCTCCAACAATATATGCGAGTGGCATCAAGTCACCCGACGCGGAGATAGTTCCTCGGAGGGGAATCACGGGGGTAATATCCTCGCGAAGCAGCCGTATGATTGCGCTAATAGCTGACACGGACACGGCCGAGTGTCCTCGGGCCACTGAATTGCTTCGGACAAGCATGGTGGCTTTTACCCACTCTGAAGGCATCGAGTGTGGCTCTAGACCCTGCGTATTGGGTTGCGAACCTTTGCTCTTTGTATCGGACTCGGTAAGAATGCCACTTTGAAGGAGCTGAAGTAGAGAGCTCTGCAAGGTGGTGGTCTGGTTTGTTCGGGAATCTGCACTTCCGCCAAAGCCAGTGTTTACCCCTTTTGCAATTTAGTTGGTCAGCATCTGGCTCCATGTCCGATGCCATGTGGGAAGCTCACCGTAAATATGGTTCCCATCGCGAATCAGTTCCGTCAGAGCTAACACACTATCATTGATGGCATCGATCGTCTCCGATTTGTCAGTGAGGCGAGGCTGGCAGCCGTACCTACGATGACTGTTACTCTCATTCACGGGGTAGGCAATCGATGATCGCTGATTTGGCTCACCTGGCTACCGCGACAACACCGGCAAGAGTGAGACTATTACCATCAATTTCGAGCTCTCCATCCTGGAGGACCCTTTGTAAGTCGCTCCAGTGTGCGGCTGTTGCCTCCAGGTGGCCTTCTGGAATGTATTTGTTAAGCATGGCAAAGTATAGGGCAGAGACAGATCAGTCAGCCTGCATTTCTTCCAGGCGTCGGTTTTGCGTCCTGCCAAGGCTATATATATCTATTCTTTACTTAGTGTCCTTAGTCGGGGCTAGCTAAGTTGGGCAAAACACGAGACGCCCCGGAAAATCGTCGGAGCTGTCGCAGTTTAGATAGGTCACATTGGACGAAGAGAAAAGCGCCTCGGCTCGTTCAATTGCCACCAGCTGAAGATACACCCGATTGTGGCGGAATTGGCTAGGCTGGAGCTAAACTAGCATGTCTCAGAAAAAGAAACCCTCCCGGCCTCCCGGCCCGGTATTGCTGTCCCTATTGGACCTATCTAGTATGTACTCCGTACATCACACCCAATTTTGGCATAGTTAATGTAACGCAATTTATATGATAGGCTTCATTTCCACCACTCGATGCTCCACCGGTCCATTGTTCAAGTCGGCCCGTCTTCTTCAGGGATCTGGGCCCTTGGCGGGTGATCGACGGCAAGCTCGATCCATTGGGGTAACACTATCTTGTCAATCACTTGAGGTTACGGATCTACTCATGCGATGGCGCCAATATCGCACACGCCTCGCGGATTTGAGCCGCTGCTTGGTCACTCTGCAGCAATAGTCAGCGAGATCGATATAGGGGCCAGGGAAAACAGACATGGGGGTCATCAAACAGGGTAAAATGATTTCCCGGAATTTCCAAGCAGGTTTGGATGAAGCTTATGTCGTACTCTTCCCACCCCAGATAAGATGAACCCCTCACAAGGTCGATGTAGTGGGGAGTCGTCTCGGGGTCAAGATGCACCGGATCAGCCGCCCGCACGAGCACGGCCGGAGGCGGTCCGGATGCAAACCGTGGAGGCCGCCAGTCACGCTGCATCTCATGGGCATGCAGGATGCACTGCTGCGCCTGGGTCCACCGGGTCTCAGTCATCTGGGTTGGCAGCTGAAAGCTGGCAGCTACCTCGGCGATCGTCCGTGGGTACTGGTCGGTGACAGTGCGCGTCGGGAAGACGGTGTCAATCATGACCACACCACGCACCGAGTATTGGGGGAGTTGCATGAGTCGGGAGGCAACTTCTAAAGCCACACAGCCACCAAGCGACCACCCTTCAGACCAGCGGGTCAGAATTAGCGCGCGACACTCTGCGCTGGAAGCCAGATGACGACGTACCTCCTAAGATGACGTTCCCCGAGCCAATGACCGACCGAAGCAAGTGCGCATAGACAACACCCATCTCACGAATACCATGGCTCCATTTCCCTCCCCGATCGAAATGGGTGTTGCCGATGGCATAGACCGGTCGGCGCAGATCCCCCAGGCAAAAGTACGGGAAGACGGTGCCTCCCGCATCATGGAAGAGAATCAGTGGGGTTGATGGTACGTCCGTCTCAGGCCCCACCTGGATCTGGCACGGATTCTGATCCATGTCGATCGATGGATTCGGGATTGTCATGGATCATGGCGATGGACCAGGCAGCAAAGGCTGGCCTTCTTATCTCCACCCTCCCTGACATCATGGCCGACGTGCGAAAAATAAACCCGCTTTCCGGCGCTAACCTCAGGGCTATTGATCCGATGACTGAAGAAACCGACAGATCGGCGCGCCGACATGATCCGTGATCCGTCCGACAATCGATTGAACCCTGACACACCCAGTGAGTTGGGCTGCTGTTCCCGGGGTTGACTCTCTAGCACAGGCACCAGTTCACGTGGCACTAAGGCCAGGGGGGCATTGCCATCCCCAGTCTATCAGTCGCTTGTGTGAGAGGTGTGGCCTCGAGCCCGTGACATGATGATCAAATCGGATCAACCAGTGCCAAGAATGCCGAACTGGACCAGAAGAAGACAAATTTCATGGGATTCAATACCAAAGGCCAATTTCCTTGAAAACAGTCTTCAATACTATGTTGAGACTGAACGTGGAACACCAGGATCTAAGGTACACATCTAGGCCAATCTGGGTTTACGAGCCCGGAAAAGCAGCACCACCCCCACAACATGGGTTTCAACTTCCTCGAACTCATTTTCCAGCGCCTTCACCAAAACATCCGGGCTGTCGTCCTTATTTCCAAATATCCCTTTCCAGTTGTAGAAGCGGATGGTCAAGCGTCCGAGCAAATTGTGGTGCGCTCCACGCCCAAGGACCGTGGTACCAAACAGGGTTCCTTCCGGCGTCAAGTGATGTTTCAAATGAGCGAACACAGTTGCCTTGCGATGGCATGGCGGTGGCAGGCAGTGCAGTAGGTACATCAACGAGATTGAGTCGAACTTGGGTGATCAGGTACCCATTAAGGTGCAGTTGCAGTCGGCGAGCAGCTTGGTGGAAGCGGCGGAGATCATCGCTACCGGGTTCCGCATCAAGCTGCGACGGAAGCTTCATCTGCCAATGGATGGCGAGCTGCCGGGTACGACCTTGCTGACGGAACTGGGGGTTGACTCGCTCGTGGCGGTCGATCTACGGGTTTGGTTTGTTAAGGGGCTGCAGTTGGACATGCCGGTGCTGCAGCTACTGGGGGGATCCTCTATTGATGCTCTGGCCCGAAGTGCGGCTGAGAGGTTGGACCCAGCCTTGTTGTCGCTAGAACAGGCGTAGATGAGGGTAGAACTATCTGTTGAGGGGTTGTCTGATGCATGTTCAACTCAGGTGACCGCACGTCTGTTGCGACATGTTGACCATAGCATCACTTCATGGCCCAAAAATGAGGAGAATGCACATTACTAATGGAGAGTCGGAAATCAGCGTACAATTCCTATTGAGTCGTGAGAACGCGGTCACAGCACAGGTGTAAGGGTGCATATTTATGTAAATATAGGTCCCCTCTATTGGCTGTCTTGGTGGCCTGTATCTACCACCAACATACGCATCATAACCAGATCACGAGCCCAAACACAATGACGTCTTGGACATATGATAGCCAAATAGCATTAACTCCAGATACTAAGCTCTGGTCTGCATTCTCTCTGGCCCTATGAGGGATACACAGTAGCGCTAAGCGCTTGGCCCGATGACTACCATCGTAGCGGGGCAGAGCGTCTCATGACGGCCGATCCCAAAATCAAGCCTTTGCCCCTCAATATCTCCCTCGGTACCAGATACTTAATCTCCCCGTTCCTGACCACCCAGATAAGCACCACCATCGGTACCAGGTACCCGCAGGTTCGCCCCGGAGAGGATCTCCGCCAGTAAGCGCGGGTGGTTGCCCCCGCCTGCCTTGCCCAGCCCAGCTCAGCCCAACGTTCCAGCTTTATCCTCCAGCTAATCCAACACGTGCGTCAGCCACCTACCTACCTGGCAGATCCCCCAGCTTACTTGCTATTTACTTTTCGTTTGAGCTCCCCCTTTCCTTCCCCTCCACACTTCACTCACCTCACATCTCACACCTCACATCACTCAATTTCCCACCTCAACAGCAATCAGTTAACCCCCCAAACAACAAAAGCAACACGAACCATGACCTCTCGAACCGCCCTCTTCATCACCGACCTGCAAACCGAACTCCTCACCTCCCCCGAAACCCGCATCCCCCACGCCGACCGCATCCTCACAGCGTCGACCGAAATCCTCACCACCGCGCGTTCCATCATCGACGCCCACCGCGACACGAACCGTCTCTCGCCCTCCCTCATTGTCTTCGTTCAACATGAAGAAAACCCTACTACCGGTGGCACGATGATCAAGGGCATCGAGCCGTGGGAATTACATTTCGCTCCTCGGGAGAGTGTAGAGGAGGAGATTGTCGTGGGGAAGAATATGGGTGCGTTCTTTATTTCTCTATCCATGAGAGGAAGGAGATGGAATAAGCTAATAACTGACAACGTTGGGAGCAGACGACCCATTCAAATCCAACCGAGGCCTAGCCCAAAAGCTCCGCAGCGCGGGCGTCACCGATATCGTGGTGCTTGGAGCGCAGAGTGAGAAGGGTGTGGAGGCGACGTGTACGGGGGCGTTGGCGGCCGGGTTCCGGGTTACTTTGTTGGCGGGCGCGCATTCGACGTATGATCGGGATGGGGAGGGGAAGATGGCGGTGGATATTGAAAGGGAGGTGGAGCGGAGGTTGTCGACGAGGGGGGCTAGGGTCGTGGGTTGGGAGAAGGCGGTTCGGGGTTGGGTGGAGAGGCAGAGGGTTGGTTGAATATCGTTTTAGGCAGATGTCTTATTCCAGTTCCTTAGTACAATATTATTAATGATTCCACACTCGAGCTCTCTGATTCTTTGACATTGTGTACGGAATACTCCGCCCTAGAAGGAATAGAAGGTAGTGGAGATGGGGTGCGGGAGTCCGTGCGCAACGCGGCAGAATGACTCCATCCGGTAGGCGGAACACTTTGACACGGTCTTTCGCGACTTCCAACCTCGCAAGTCCCAGCCCCTCCACTTTCCTTTCCCCTTCATCCATCCTCCCTCACCATATTCTTCTTCACTTCTCCCTCCATCATCACCATCGTCATCATCATCAAGTAAAGGAAGTATTTGCTCTTTGCTGTCCTCGCCGCCAGTCCTGCCATTCCTGTGTTCTCATAGGACTCTCCGATTTCACTTGTTGACTTCGGATTGGGCACGTACTCGTGACCAGGCCGCAAGAGCTTTACCACTTTACTCTCATCTTCTTCTTATGATTCTTTATCCTACATCTTACGCGAGTCAGGGCTGCTCATTTCTGTTTCAAAGCCCGGGTGGGAGGGCTACTCGATTCATCGGGGGTTTTCGAACCCAGCGAATCTTGCAACACAATGACCACCACATCGCCAACCCCGTCCTTGGTCTTGAAGAAGGCAGTTCTTGTTTCGACACACGATCGAGAAGCTCTTTGTTCTGCTCGTCTTCGTATTGCCCATGATAAAATTGCTAACCAAGGATCCATCTCTCTTATGGTGAGGGTGGATCTTGCTAACCTAAGCGGCAGATCACAGCTACTGACATTTAATGTCCCTCCCGCGTCCGTCGAAGAATGTACATTAGCCCGGACAAGCAATGACCGCCTCTGTTCTTCTCATTGGATTGGCATGCTCCCGGCGTCTGTCCCAAGTGTTTCGGACGTGTCAACCTTGAGTCTGACACTCAGTACGACCGGCATCGTTCTTTGTCCATCTGGTATGGAGGCTCTAAGCCCGACCGATCCGGAAGACTCCACTTTTCGTGCATTTGCAAAGATCTGTAAATCCAAATCCCTACATCTACACTTCTCGAGACGACAATTTGTGAAAGACGAACTGGATCAGCTGGAGACTTTCTCCTTTGCCCTGCAAAGAAGACGTCTTCAGGCAGAGTCTTTTAACCATGCTCGTCAGGGCGTGGTCGAGAAAGATTGGCGTGTCTTTGGCCTGTCGCTCGATCCACCCCCATATTCTGAGGAGTCTGATCCGGCGAAGCAAGTGGATTTGCCCCTATATCGTGAGGAACCCGAGCAGGTGGTTGGAAAACGGTGCAGAGGTATCTTGTTATCTTGTCGTCTTATGTACTCAACTTCAATAGCTCGTTAATAGTATTTAGACCAGTGGTCAATGCCCTCCGATGATGAAACACGGAAAAAACCGCGCCTTCCCTCCCCATCCCTGCTAGGCTCCCCCACCGAAGTCAATACGCCGAGTACTCTTTCCCTATCACCGGCCTCCATCCGCCCAACTTACTTTACGCATGCTTCTGGCCGCACCGACCGTAGCCGACTGGCGCGTCTTGAACATGAGCTCCGTGGTGTTCCGGATGACTTGATCTGCAAACTGTTAATCCGAATAGGACGCCAACATCTGCTGGCCATACCCGGAGATGTAGATCGTGACCTGCCATCGGAGTCGGAGAAAGTCAGTTTTGCCCAGATCGAGCTGATGGAACGCCGTCTCGAACGATACGTCGATACGATGATTGAGCGCCGCCTCCAATCACGTGTCGACGAGATGGTCGACAGCGCTGTGAGCAGGTGTCGTGATCAGATTTACGACGAATACAAAACGAACGAAGCCGAATTCCGCGAGCAGGTCGACGATGGTAACTCCGAGGTCCGCACAACGGCCAATGAATGTATGAAGGAAATGAAAGAACAAGCCCAAAAGCACATGCATGAAATCGAAGAACAAGCGCAACAGTGCATGGATGATATCGAGCAGCAGGGAATCGAGGCGGAGATGGCTGCGGAGGAACAGGTTGCCAAGTTCAAGTGCTGGTTCCATGCGTCTGCCCGGTCTTTGCTTGATGGCCAGCCAAGCCCTAGCCATGAGCTGGCGACTAATGCCAGACGAAGTTCCATCTGATTTGGATACCAGTATCTCTACGTCTATGTATATTAGTCAGATAGCTCTCTAGTAAAGATATGTATATAGATTCTATAATACCTTCGGCTCTGATATCTACTTCCAAAAATAGGCCATATCTAAATTGAATCATGATTATTGATGCCGTACTACCGGTTGAGTGAGTGAATAAGTCAATTTTCCTTGTGCATCGAGAAAACACATTAGGCGAAACCACCACTACTAGCATGTTCCCGCACCCTACTGCCAGGGACCATACTTTTCGGAAATCCAGGAAAGGTATGGGTTGCTCGTGGGAATGAAGCAGCAGCCAGGAAATAACTAGCCCCGGATGCTACTTCTGCTTTGAGCGGACGGATAGGTCGATTCGGAATGGTTCACAATCCGAAACTGTGGAACCATGCGTCGCCCATAGCACGACTGTCTAAACATATAGCCTGAGGTGAGTGGTATCTAGATATCTGGGATACTAGGTCGGAGCGGGGAATCTGGCTGCGCCTCACTGAATGGTTGGGTTAATTGACAAGGTGTCCTATGTGTGTATTTATTCTGGAGAATGGGATTGATTGGGAGGGGCGGATTGTATAGGGTCTCGAATGGGGTGTGCATACTTCAGATTCGATGGAAGTATGGGTTACTGCTTAGAGGGATGTCGATATTGTATTGTCCGGTGAGGGAATTATTCCATTGGGACGGTTGGGTTAGGGAGAGGATTAGAGTGGAGATATACGGGGAATTGGCCTGTAGGATGGGAAGGACTATGTCGAGGGGTACGAGTACATACAGTCCCTGACAAATATAGTAGGGTGCTTGACTACGCAGTGGTAGGGATCATGTAGTTTGAGTGGAGGGCCCCGACACGTGTCCCATAGAGGTAGGGATGTACTTTTGTACTGTATTGAATGTAGAGTGGGCAATTGCTATGTACACACCCCCCCTAGGTCAAATCTTCACCGCGTTTCAATCTCATCTGACTGAACGGTAGCTAGTACACCGGCATCGGCACCGCATCCAAATCATAATGCCAACTATCAATGGAGCGCTGATCATACACACACTCCATGGTATCATTCGTCCACAACGGCCGCAGCGGCCAGGCACACAGCTGCTGATTCTCGCCCTCGTGCTCACCCTGCAGGACCGTGGCGTTGAGGGTGGTTGGCGTCACGCCGTTCTCGACCCAATCGATCATCACGGCGAGGTTGGTCTGCGGGAAGGGACCGTTCGGCATGGCGTCATTGGGGGCGCAGTGACCCGCCCCGGGGATGGTGTAGAGACGGTACCAGTCGTTGAGGGCGTCGGCGCTGGCGTTGTAGTCTTGGTTGGGGTACATGATGGTGCGAACGGATTCCCAGAAGCGGATGGAGGCCGCGGTGGGGATACTAAAGTCGGCGTCGCCGTGGTAGTGGATGACTTTGCCGCCGTTGTTATGGAACGGGGTGAGATCGGGCCAGGTGGTTTGCAGGGTACTGAAGTATTCCTGCATGCCGGCGATCATCCAGTCCTTGAGGGTGTCGTAGGTGACGCCGTCGAGGGAGTCGAGGGTGGTGCCGTTTTTGTGGACGAGTAGGGCGATGTACTCGCCGCCGAGTTGGTCGATGTCAAGTTCCCAGGTGCCGGTGGTGGCGTTGTATTGGGTTTCGGCGTCGTCGAAGGCGGCGGTGGGTTGGTAGGAGAAGTAGACGCGACGGCCGTCGGAGTCGTGGAGGCCATTGAGGATGGTCTGGGCGACTTGGATGGCTTGGGCGGAGACGGTGCCGTTCTGGGCGGGAGTGCCCCGGGAGGCGGCGCAGGCGTAGGATTGGCCTTCGATGGAGGTGATGTTGAAGTCGAGGAGGCAGAGATCGGTGCGCGCCACGACGCCGTCGGTTTTCCCGTCCATGGGGTCGCAGGCGAGGATGGTTTCGTTGACGATCTTGTCGAGCTCGCAGGGGGAGGGGTAGTAGTTGAGGGTCTTTTCGACGACGTTGGAATAGAGATGCTGGGTTTGTTGGAAGGACCAGCGGAAGGCCGGGGCCCCGATGATGGCCCCGTCCCATTCGTCCCCGTAGCGTTGGACTTGACTCCATCCTTCGCGGCCGCCTTCGGAACAGCCTTGGTAGTAGGCGTAGAGTTTGTCGCTGTCACTGAGCCCGTAGATGTTGCGGGTGAAGGCCTTGCCGAGTAAGCTGAGCTCGCGGTGTGCCTTGTATGCGAACATGTAGAGGGTTTCGTAGTTGAGGGTTCCATTGGCTAACAGCATCGCCGTGTCTGCATTGTTGGAGAAGCCCCCGAACCCACCGTCCGTCATGCCCGATGCCGCACCGTACATGACGCCGCCGGGGAGGGACTGGTCCCCGGAGTTGATGGCGTAGCCGCCACCACCGGTCGAGAGCCAGCGGTTTTGAAAGTCGGATGGCGCGGGGAGCCAGATTTCCAGAAGGACCTGGTCGCCGTCAATGCCATCGTGGGAGTAGGCAAACGTGACGTTGCAGTAGCTGATGGTGGCGCTGGGATAGAAGTCACTGGAGACACTGCTGTTGGTCACGACGTCCGTGGTCACGGAGTCGGAGTCGATGGTGATGCCCTGAATGAATTCGGAGGGTGGGAGAGCGGCTTTGGCAATGGAATTGGTGCACAGCTCTGCCAGGGTGGAGGGGGTTGCGGCATCTGTCAAGGCCGCGAGGGCCGCGGTGAGGGGAACCCAAATTGAACGCATCTTGGGCAATGCAGGAAGGATTTGAAGGGTGAGTAGGATTGGAGCTGTGTTTGCCTGGTGAGCCTAGGACAGGTCAGACAATCCCTCCTTTTATACCACAATCCGTCCCTATGAGCCGGAAATCATCCTGTCCGTGCTAGCAAAGGTGTCGTCATCGGAGGTTCCTGGAAATCAAGTGAGTTTGTGGGGAATACGGGGATGGAGCTTGAGTGCCGACGTCCAGCATGTTGAACGTTGGAATCCCCACCATCCCACCCCCGCAAACTGCCGCATCCCCGCTAAATGTCCGCAGAATGCGTGAAGAGACCGGGGATAAGTGGCTGTTGCATAGCGCCGGAATTGGGCAGACTGGTTACCACCCTACTGAAGTAGACACTGTCCGCGGAACTAGACAAGGTTAGCTCTAGATGATTAGTCCACATTGGATTAATCAATGCCGATCGGCGGACAACTGGTCAGAACTCCGACGCCGTGGATTTTCGGAACAAGCTTTGTTGGGCAGTTTCGTCCGGTAGCTCCAGACACAGAGCAGCCAACCACCACTTGCATGTGGCCATCCCACCCTACACCACTTAGTCTCCAGTCGGGCGAAGCTTTGAAGCTCACCCACGCGGTCAGAGCTCTAAGCTGCACAGGTTCGTGACATAGGTAGAGCTCCCCACCGGATGGCCGAGTCATGTCTGAGCTCTTACCCTCGTGTAAGTGATTTGTAAGTCGCAATACCGGTGGGGTATTGCTGAGTGCAAGGAGGAATTCATACTACATCCTAAATCTCACTTTCAACCTGCTAGGATTTCTCCGTGAGAGAGTCCGGCCTCCGAATTATTGATTGATAGGATTGTGGGTGTTGTGGGGAATGCGGGGAAAGGCGGGGGATGCCCAGGGGCTTGGACCCCGGCCGAGTTGTGATTCGCCGGGCGGCTAAGAGGTTTTCCGTCCAACTATTGCGGAGATTTGGCCCAGGCATATCCCGGGACTGGTCTACACTTGACTCTGAGATCAATGCGTGTCTTCTTCTGATAAGCAGCTCCACAACCTCCTTGTGCCTGCCGCAGTCCATGAGAGAGGCGTCCGTACACTCCTTCCCGGGAATAGGCTTCGCTAGGTAGCCCCTACCATCAATCCGACTAAAGGAATATGCTCTGCATTTTGAACAATGAAGCAACCGCAAGATCCATATACGGCGTGCATTGAGCGCATTGAGAAAGCCACGGGCAAGTTAGCATATCCGCCGTGGTTTCATCTGGAACTTGATGAAGCGATTGCAAGAGAAGTGTTCTCCAACGAAGCAGTTGTTCTTTTCAGATTTCGGAATCCCCGTGGACTTGATTCGCACCTTGAGGCGTTGTAGTGACTTGACATGATAGTAACGTTCTGGAAATGATGATAGAAGAAGGATCATCCTAGCTAGGATGTCGTAGAGGATGGTCAGAAGCATGCTTTGGTGGTATGTTTGCAGCTCACCTTCGCGAAAGCTATCGAAAAATTTTTGCAATCACAGCGTCGCGTGCAGGTGAAGAGTTGCAGCGTAAGCTTTCCACTCTTCGGCTTTCCTTGCTCGTACAAAAGTTGGGAGAAATCCGATACAGAACACTGTGATGCCCATCGTGTCCCAGATCCAATCAAAGGAGCGTTTGTGATCTGTGGGCATTTAAGGAACCATCATTGTAAAATTCCAGGCTCTGGAGACACTGTCAAGGTGAATAAAACGAGCGAGAGATTCACTTCCGTGTGCGGAACAAATCTTGTTGCTCTTATTGTACTCTAGGGGTGGTATTTTTCCCGGAGCGCTGCTCATTATGGTTGGCCTAGCTAGTAGCAAGAAGATCATGCAAATGCTCTTTGCGCAAGTGCTTCGCTTGAGATGGTTGATGGTTGGAGCAAGATAGTCAGGGGCTTCTTGGAAGACCCGGTCTGCCCAACCGCGGGTCCCGTGCACTCCCTCCAGTTGGCTGACAACGGCATCGCCCAAGCGACTATGGGTTCGTGGGGGACTCCGATGCCAGCTATCCGAACGAACTGTATGAAGGTGAAAGTAGCCATCACGCGGTGGTACTAGTTCCTATGACCAGCCAGATGACAACATTGTGTTGACTAATGCAACAGAATGTATAGAGGATATCTAAATGAAGCAGTAGGGACCCAATATTATCCTCACTCCCACGGTAGAGTAGAAGGAGGATCGTTTCTACTAGCTAAAGAGTCTTTATAGATTATATAGATATATACAGTCCTAGACACATCCAGCTTTCAATCATTTAAAGTTACCTGCGGTGACACTATATAGATCTAGATATACTTGGAATGACCTGAGCCTATTCATGGAAAACAGACATATACTCACTTTGTTCATCCACCTTTATAGAAGGATAAGTATTATCAAGGTTTGCTACCATGAATTATATGAGTGTATTTCTCTAAAATTCGTATTGATCTCACTAGATGTTCCTTCTTTCCTCTTTACTGTAAGGCATGTCAGATGAAGCAGGTTTAGGCAGAATGCGCCTAGAATCTCTAACCTTTTATCCATCGTTACAGAAAGGGATGATTGGGTCAGTCGGCCTTGTCTTTCGTTCAATGTTTAAAAAATTGACAGGGAGAATTCGCGGACAATGCACTGAAAACGCCCGAGGCGTCGAGGAAGTTGGAGCGGAATGCCATGATGGAGACGTTGAATGGGGACGAGGGCTGATACCACAAACTAGGCGGTGTAGAAGCAAGAATTATTTACTACCTACACTTAGCCTATAAATAGAGCGCAGGCAAAGTCCCTGAATATGTTATTACAGCCAGATTAGGAGTACTTTCGCATGATGTGACTCCTACCTCTCTTTTCACTCTAGGATATGTTCAGGTCGTAAGTTTGTAGGTTAGAATTTACTCGAGTAATCACCATTGAGGCTTTCAAGTTGACCGTCCGACTGATACGAGCAGCCAACTTGACTGTATATCAGCCTACACTATACTATACATCACATCGCCCAAACCCCTCAACAAACCTAACAATCTGCTCCGCCAAAGCCCTCGGCTGACTCACAAACGGCATATGACCCGTCTGAAAGTCCACGACATCCCACTCGACCTTGGACTTCTCCAACCAGGCATCCTGCAATGAGGACGGATTACAACAATCCTCCAGGGTCCGCACATACGCTCTCCTCCCATCAAACGCACTCTCCGCCCAGGCTGGCGCCGTAGCGGGCATTTCAAACGCCCGGAGAGCGTGCGGCTGCATGAACGCATTCAATTCCGCCTCGAGGGCCCGGTCGCAGTCATTGTATAGAATGTCCATTGCTGGTTCGATGATAGCGAGGCCTTCAGATGGCTGTAACAAATTATTAATACCTATACATATATGGTCGTGATGGCGGAGACATACCGTGCCAACTTTAATAAAAGGCGGATAAACACCACCGACAGCAGTGAGGAGGGCTTCACCCTCGAGTGTGATATTGCCCGCCACGTAAATCAGCCCAACAATGCCGGTCGAGTGACCGTGGGCTTGTCTGGTCCCCTTCGCCAGGCCGTTGGCTGCGCCACCGGCAACCACACCCCCGTAGGAGTGTGCGAGGACGACGACATCTTTACCCTGGTCGTTTAACAGAGGAAGGAGGACGCTGTCGCGCAGAAACGCGATATCCTGTGCAGAGGACACGTTGGTCGGATCAGAGGGATTGCAGCTCGGGTATGCGCCGGGGTGGGTGGTGTAGCCGGCTTCGGTCAGGTACGGGAGTAGTTTGTTGAAGCCGTCAGGGGTGCCGAAGGCACCGGGGACGATCACGATCAAGGGGGGGTTTGCTGAAGACATGGTGGAGGGATTCGGATTGGGAAAGAGGTTGCGATTCTGTTATGTTGGATATTATGCGGAAGAGAAATTGGTGAGAAGTTGAATTGCTAGGCGGAGGCTAGGAAGGCGGAGTGGCGGGATATAGCTCGACGGGGTCAGAAATTAGTGCGGTGTCAGACTGGTACTAGGGAAACAGCTCAGCCGGGTTAGAGATTCTGACATTAAATAACCTCAATCATATGATTCCCTTGTCTGATACTGAATTAGTTCTACACATGAATCTTGATGCTAAATCAGCCTGCACGTACCTAAACCTTATACCCAAAAATAGAGAAAAAAAAACTTGCAAAATCTGTAAAACCCTAAATATTCTGAAACCTCCAGCCCTTCAATGCTATAAGAATATCCTATCACCCATAGAAAGGGTGAGTATATTTGATGATTAAGATTATCTAATATCAAGAACTCTGACCGGCAGACTGCAATGTGGCTGAGACTGACAAGAGACTTTCTAATCAGCAGCATCGGATTAGTACTTCGAAATTAGGCAATCAACTCAACTGCATGACAGGTGCAACAGCTACCTAGGTGGCACCTGTAAGTCACCTAAAAGCGCCACGCCCGAGGCGCTGACCCAGGATAGATACATGTACATACAGACAGGTGGTAATTCGTGTACTCGAACGTGGACCTGCAGGTGGGGGCTAAGTAGTTACACACACTATACTTATCTCAGTAGGTGGGGACAGCCCCTCTCATCATTTCACATTTCAGGTGTAGAGTGAACAAGGCTTCAAAAAATGTTATAACCAGTTTAATGCATTTGTATGAAACAACACGGGGCGAGGTAGACATTCAATGACTGGGAAAAACGGTGGAGTTTCTCTTTGCCATACGCTAGTGACAGACGTTCCTTGATTCTTTGGGGCTGAATAAACCACTATCCAGGGTACAAAGTACATACCATACTGAATTCAGGTCCAATACCAGGATGTTGCCAGACACCAATGACAGTTCTGTAGGGACTGAAATAAAACAACTGGTGACTACACTGATGATCGTCTTCACAGGTAAATCATGTCATGAACCTGACTACATGGCCATGAAATGCCTGAATCGGAGGAAATTAGCTGAAATCCCCGCAATGCTGCTCCTCTATAGCTAGGCTCACAGGATAGCTGAAAGGATATTGTCAGAGGATACATTGTTGCAAACTAAATGCAACAGATCCTTCTTTCTGAGTAAAGCGGCCAGACATGCCTGAGGTCGCGGAATGAGCCAAGAGATGGTGCCTGAGGCTAATGCACGCCGGTGGCACTAGGCCACATTAGCCCAACGCTGGTCATTCTTACTGTTTCCCCCGGATATACTTGATAGACACTCTAGATTTCTTGCCGTGCTTTTCTGTGTTCCATATATTATTAGCGTGTGAAGTATACGTGCTGATCTGGCTGAATGACTGACCGTCTCTGGATGCGGTGCCTGTGACTGTAGTCTCAGGTTTGTGTACGGAATAACCTGCGATTGATCTCTAGGTTTCACTTGCCTTCAGCAGACATGGTTGAGACAGAGATATAAAAGAAGTGAGATTGCAACAAAATGGGCGTCTGACACTATAAATCAAGCCGGATGCTTTATCCTAACTGGGAGGAGGGTATAAACCAGATGAGGTATCATCTTCAAACAGTCCTTCTAAGAAGATGACACTGATGACCACCGTTCGGATTTTTGCAGTAGAAGCAATTTAGCAATCAGTACACAATCTTGACGAGTAGGGTAGATCCGACCTCTGCATTTTCTGGTGGTGAGGATGATAATTATAGGCATCCTTGGTTTGCATGACTCATAGGTAGAGTCCAAGTGCCCAGTTCATTTTGGCTTAAGCTGAAGACTATGGTACCCATGACGAGCTTATTGCTACCATCTTGAGGCATAAAGAAGAGAGCCTACTCTGTAAGGATCTGAAGGAGGGGATGTGAAAAGGTTCCACTAGAGAAGCCTTCACTGCGAACCAAAAGTCCCTAGGGTGACCTGTGAAGCCGAGGGTCACCATCATGTGGGAGATTCACTTCTGGATATAGTATCGGTATTGTGTCAGAACGGTATGGAATGGACCATTTCCTCTGGCAGTGAGAACTTGCATCCTATGAAGCTATTGCAGCTGCTATCCCCCTATCTGGCGCAAAATACGCAGAATATATCATTTCATAGTCCCTTCCGTAGCATAGGAGGTTGTAACCCAGGAAGCATCCCACGCAACAATATCTAGGTATTAAAACAAGATGTCAATGGTATTCAGTATATAGGCACCCATTAGGTCTAGTGTCACCCGTCAAGCGAGCTCGGCCTCGATGAGTGACTCGGCGGCGCCCGGATACTGGTAGATCCGAACCATCTTCAATCCAGCCTTCGCCAGGATATCCCTCCACTCCGCCTTCGTTCGTTCTCGCACCGCAAAGTGAGCCAGCATCATCATGTCCATCGCACTCGCGGCCAGCCCAGGTTTCTCTTCACTGACTACAATCTCGTTGAGCAGAACCCGCGAATAGCCCCTCTCCAGCGCCGGTACCAGATTCTGTAGGATTTGAACCCCCTCCTCGTCACCCCAGTCGTGAAGAATGGAGTGGAGGGAATACGCACGCGCGCCATGCACCGGCAGTGGCGTAAAGAAATTGTGGGCCTGGGCTTCGAAAGGACGCGCCTCGCTCGTAGCCACCACAGCAGCAATAACGGGCTCTCGGTCCTGGAGGATGATTCTACCCGGGTGGGAACCGTGTTGCGCTGCAAACAATGCAACGTCGTGGCCTCTGCCACCTCCCACATCTACCAGCAATACGTCGCTCACGAAGCCTGCGATCATCCGCTCCGCCACGGGGTAAAACCCCGGGTCATACCAGTTCGGCTTCCCCGCACGATATGCGCTCATAAAGGAGTCGAAGTGCTCGAGATCCGGGGGCGTCGCGACGAGCCATTCAAAGAACGGGAGCTGAGTATTGTGCGCGCTCTGAAACGGGCCGCCCAGTCCACCTAGGGTGGGGGATCTATATCTTGTCTGTTTGAAAAACGCGGGAAACCCATTGAAAGAAGGCCGGGCAGTATCGTAGTAAAAAGAGATGCTGTGCTGGTAATTCTCCTCTGCAAGTCCGTTGCTCAGGGTTGTCGCGTGGAATGCCCCATCGTGGTACGTGATGAGGTACATCGCAACGAGATGTCGAGTCAAGCGCTGCAGCAACGCCAGCTGAACGCCTGTTTTCTCCGATAGCGCCGACGGAGTAAGTCTGATGTTCCCTGCCTCTTTCAGATGTTGAAAAAGCTTCACGTTCACGCAGAGGCGAATGATTGCTGACAATGCGGGCTGGACTAATTAGTGGTGGTCAGTGATATCCGGACTGTTGCTCACCTCAGCCCAGAAGCTGCGCTGAACGAACTCGCTGGGCACTTCAAGTGCCGCGACCAGCGCTCGGCTGCGTTCGATCAGAGCTTCTCTCGACCCGGGTTCATTGTCCTCAAAAGCGTTCCCCGTCGAGCCGAGGTCTTTCAAAATTGATGATACAGAAGAAGTTGACATAATGATTTGATGTTAAGACGGAAAGCAAGGGAACGGTGTTGTATGGCCCATTTAAGGACGAGCTGATGGACCGAAGCCATCGTTGGACTATCCCGTGGTGAGCGCGACAACAGGTTTCTCGAGCCCTGATTCTGAGTTAGTTGGCCGTTATCTATTATCTAGCGGAAAGTGTCGTGGCTCGAGCCGATGCCAAAACCTTCTTCGCCAGTGGGAAGCATGTCATCGGTTGCTGTTGCGACTACCTGATCCTCGAGTGCCCTTCGTCAAGTCACTTGGGAGGTCAACAGACAGACTGCGGAGTGAACACATGGTCAATCACGAATCTGGAATTTGGCAAATCAAAAGGAATCAAGGGGCCGATTTCATGCAGACGATCTACGAACGCCCCTTCCAGCCTGCCACAGTAAAGGGCGTGACAGCAGCACCCCAGTCCGTCATATGGCACTGGTGGTTGCTCCCGAAGGATGACTAGCTCAGCCACAAGCCATGTTTTTCCAAGCTCGATTACGTGAGTCAATGCAATAGTACACAGATCCCTGCCAAACCCTGACCGGACCGGAAGTCTCACAGAGACAGCAGATGGCACCATTCGTTTCCCTGTAACTGCCTCCCATGACCCCTGTTGGTTGCTATAGCCTAAAACTGAGAGGAGTGAGCTATGGGCACTAGCACGGCTGGGAGTGCGTTAGCTGGCCACCCGGGCCAGTGGCACCGGATCGCTTTGCGCTTGCCAGGCCACGCATCCGATATCCCCACTTAGCCTTGTGTCACCCAGATTCAATGGCGGGCAGCCTTGTACGACCCATTTTCGGTCAGTCAAATGTGCTATCCCAAGAGGGTATGTCAATCAGACAGGTCTGATCCTTCAAGGACCGGTCTTGTCGATCCAGAGGTGGCAACTATCTTTCGGGAAGTGACAGGTTATAGAGATGCTCGGCTCCCGTCGTGGATCGCTCCACCCTTTGGCCCATGCTTTATCATCGCCTGGCCACATGGTCTGACCCGATTATCACCATGGCGTCGTTTGACACAGACGTCGATTTCAGTCAGAGTCGTGGAGCTGATATTAATGTCGTTGCGTGGGTGTTTACTGGCACTGCAATTGCAACCGTCTTTCTTAAGCTCTTTGCCCGTGGGCACGTCTCTCACAACCTGGGATGGGATGACTTTTTTATCTTCTTCTCACTGGTACGACTACCGAATTGCGAGCCGGTAGATATTGACTGTTGCAGGGCCTGAGCATCATTGCCGCAGCGTTCGTCTCATATTCAGTTACCCTGGGTTTGGGCCGACACACGGCGGCCGTGATTGCCGAGCGTGGGTTGGAAAGATATGTCTTGACTGCCAAAGTGGCAGATTATCGCATTCCGTATGTTTCTATCATCGCTCTTTGCCAGAGGCTAACTGTAGCAGCTTTTAACATTGGTAAGTGAAGCATCTACTATCCTGGACTCCGCTCACTCCGCTAGGCGCATTCAGCTTCCCTAACATCTCGATCGCAATTCTGATCACTCACCTGCTCGACCCCAACCCACTGCGTACGCGATGCCTGTACGCCATGGTTACACTGCAGGTGGTATTTGCCATGGTTTCGGTCTTGAGTGTGTTCCTGCAGTGTAACCCTACCAAGATGCTGTGGGATCCTTCCGTGGAGGGTACATGTTGGGATGCAGCTGTGTTCGATGACTTTATGTACTGGGTCAGCGCATATACTACGATTACGGACATTGTGTTGGCAGTAGTGCCCGTCAGCGTGTTTTGGAAGCTGCAGATGCGATTTTCGACCAAGCTAGGGGTGTGCATCATGATGAGCCTCACCCTGCTCTCTGCGATTGTGACGATTGTGAAGGCGACGTACTTGCACCTGTTTACGCAACGAACTGATCCTCGTCTGTTCCCTGTTTCCATTCCATATTCAATCTAACAACTGATAGTTCACGACGTGGTGACCCTGGTTATTTGGGGGCTGTAAGTATCCTCTTCCTGAGATCTATGGAGAGTCTGACCTTTAGGATTGAACAAAACGTCGTCATTGTCGCCGCCTGTATCCCGACACTCCGTTCCTTCTTCCGCATAGCCTTTGGTACCAAAGGTTCTCGATCCGGGAATACCAGTTCACGCACGCGCTCAGGGTCGGGCTTTAAGCTGTCGTCCAATCCGAAGCATAGTATTTCGCAGCGGCTTCCATCCGACTCTGAAATCGCACTCCACACGCAGCACGATGACATTGAGAGCAACAGTAGCCAGCGCATCTGGTGGACGCAAGAACTGCACGTGGAGAGCGACCAGGAGGATGGTTTGAGCCATATGGATCGAGATTTGCGGAACATTGTACCGCCTGAGTTGCGGTCACCAGATAACTAGGTTAAGTTCCGCCGTCAGGTTCCATGGCTCAGACCATTATTAACTGTATAATATGATACCTAATTATCACAATAGTATATCTCACGGAAATAAGCACAACCGCCATCCGTACTATACCCTCCTTGGATCCCGACATCAACCGAACTAGTCCGCGTTTGTCTCGCACCAATAATCAACTTCAACCTGCATCCACCATGACTCACGCTAATCCTTCCCCGCCATTAGCATTTCATCCCAAACCTATATATGATTCAATCTCACCAACCCTACCCTTTGCAATGCATAAGCAGGATCAATTCTCCCCTCCAACCCCCTCCAAAAAAAAAAAAAGAAAAAAAGACCCCAAAAAGCAGCCACAGCAAAAGAAAAGGAAAAATATCGAAAATGGGCATCACGATCCGCCCCGCCACGGAACTCGACACCCTCTCACTCGGCCAAATCAACATCGCCAGTTTCCGGCACCAACCCTTCTGGGGCAACCTCTTCCCCAACATCCCGGACACGGAGGCGGGAACTCTCCCCCTAAAAACCGCCCGATGTCTCGATAAACTCGTCGCGCCGAATGTGCATGTTTTGGCAGCTGTGGATGATATCTCGGGCCGGGTGGTAGGGTATGCGCGGTGGATGGTTCCAGCTGACGAGAACGGAGATGGGAAGAGTGCAGTGGAATTGAAAGAACAGGCGAATGTGGAGTTATTAAACCGACATAAAGCGGGGAACACGTTTCCCGTGGGAACGAGAATGGATTTATATCATGCGTTTCAGGAGTTATTGAAGGATGTAGAGGGGCGGTTGGTAAGGGAGGGTGATTTCGGTATTTACTCCCTATCCTACTATCTTTTCTCATTTGAAATGAGTACTTGGTCAGTTTACTAACTCTGCTGCACCTAGTCCTGGAACTCCTCGCCACACACCCAGAAGCCCAAGGCAGAGGCGTCGGAACGGCATTATTAAACTGGGGCCTTGAACGGGCGAATAAGCGAAATGCGAGGGTGTATTTGGAGGCTACAGAGGATGGATATCCGCTGTATTGGAAGTATGGGTGGCGGGATGTGGAGGTGATTGAGATTGATTTTACGAGGTTTGGGGGAGAGGGGAGGCAGCAGTGGACGGTTATGGTGAGGGAGAGGGGGGGTGTTGTTGCTGCTGCTTAAGTGGTGGGATGGGATTAGGGCTACGTTGTTGGTTTTATGGGCGGGATTTGAGATATAGATGAATGTTGGGTAGATGTGTTGTATACTCTTTAGGGCTATTACAACATATATGCATTTTGTCATATGTTGGAAAGAGAAGTCAACGTGACAAATATATTCTGGAAAGAAGTGAATATTGGCCCTAAGTCACCCTGCAAGCTATAAAGTGATACAGCTCACTTACGTTTTCGCGTTGGAGAAGCCCAATACACAACCAAGAAGGCGACATAGGTCGTCAATCTACAAATGTAGGCGACTAGACACTCGTTCTTCTTCCTTTGTCCTTGCTCTGCAACTACGGCGATCACAACAATACCAACTATAAGCAACTATCACCCCTCAAATTACAACCCAACGACCAGCCATCCCCACTAGCATTCTGACTACTAGCAATCTAACCACCATCCCCCACAACCCTCGACAATCCCCCTCCCAATCCTCCTTCCATCTCTCCCACCATTTCCGATCCCCCACCGACACACCCTCCATCATCTCCTCCCACGTCCTATCCAACCTCACCACCTTCTTCAACATCAGCTTCTGGTACTGGTTTGCGTCCGTCCTGTGCAGAATCTCCTCCACAGTCCGGGGTTCAAGGACTTCGAGCACGTCTCTCGTCTTTATTTGGCCCGCGTAAAAGCGTCGGCCGCAAACATGAATTTGAAATCGGGTATGGTGCATGTCCATGTGATTCTGCGGGGGTTGTTCAGGCCGTGTGGTTTGGCGAGACACCATGGGATAATTAGGGGTCTGAGATAGGTGTTTGGGTTGCAGTGCGTGGTGATTCTTTTTTCGGGGGTGGGTTTGGAATTGAGATGGTTAGTAGGTTGGTTTTGGAGAGGATGTAGTTTAGAGAATATACTTGAGAGAATGTTGGAGGAGTATGACATACGTGTTGCTTCATAATGAAAGATTTGTGGTGGTTCGTTCACTATCCGAAGGTTCAGAGGATGACCCAGGAATGATCGACCAGAGTGCAACCGGCGCCTTTATAGGCGTAGAGACCCTGATCCTCGTGTAGCTGTAGGACGACGGCCAGTCACGGGCCTCGGGTCAGGTGGCTTCCGCCACGGCGGAGACATTCTCCGGCATCCTGGTTCTCTTCTTTCGTGCTACATTTGTCTCACTTGTCTGGCTTTCGTCTCACTTCATCTCACTCTTGACTCTTACCGTTCAGTCTACAAGGCTGGCAGGTTGACAATCTGACAGGTAACAGGAAGGAATCTCATTGTCCAGTCATTGTGATAGTACTAATGCGGCCTTGTCTGCAGCTCCAACCTTACGGCGTCTCAGCCACGTTATATACCAACTTCTGTCCGCTAACCTTCCCATCCTTCATCGCCTGCAAGCCCTCCAAGACGCCCTGCAACCCCCCAGCTCCCACCTTGGCCGGGTGAGGCTTGATCTTCCCATCCGCCAGAAGCGTCGCCGCCTTGCTCATAAACTCTGCCGCGAACTCGCGATCCTCGGGCTTCGCAGGGATCACACCACCGCCAAAGTCAAAGTCCTCGCCAAAGGCCGTATACCCCAGGGTGAAGCTATTCTTCACATCGTCTCGATCAACAGCTGCGTGCACGATGGCCGAATAGTGACCACCCTGGCTGGAAATCACCTGTTCGCAGAACTCGGCCCCGCCGACCGTGTCAAAGACCAGCTTTAACTGGTCCTGGGCATAGTCCTTGACAGCTTGGATGGCATTCGGGTCCTTGTAGTCGAACGCGGCATCCGCACCGAGACTCTTGACCAGGTCAAAGTTCTGCTTTGAACAGGTCGTCAACACCGTGTATCCTGACAGCTTGGCATACTGGATGGCCAGGGTGCCCGTGGCGGTGGAACCCCCATAGACCAGAAGCAGCTCGGGTTTGGTGAGCGGGGCGTCTGGGGGTGCGAGCTTCAGGCTTTGATACAGACCCTGGCCGACGGTGATGGTTCCCAGGCCAAGCGTGGCCGCCTCCTGGAAGCTGAGGCGTTCGGGGATCACGATTTGGAGATCGGCTTTAGGGATGCAGTACTCGGCAAAGGCGCCACTTTCTGGGTTGTTAAGCTTGCAGCCTTGGACCCACCCGCAGACGCGGTCTCCCTTGCGAAACTGCTTCTTGACACCTTTACCGACCTCTTCCACGATGCCGGAGTAGTCGTTGCCAATGGTGAGGCCGGGAGGTCCCCTGTCGGCACTCTTCCAATCGGTCGGATTCAGAGCCACGCTGACCGTCTTCACGAGCAGGCAGTCATCGAGCAGGGTGGGGATGGGACGGCCAGAGACCACATTGCGGGCGCCGCGCGCCGTGATGGCAACCACTTTCTGCATGGTGTGACGATAACTTCGAGTTAGTGAGACTTGGATAGATGTGGGATTAGAGAAATCTACGAACAAGGCGGGGTGAGGGGTAAAATGGTTACATTGATGGTCACGTCACTGCCAGCATGCCTGCAGGTGGATGGCAGCTGATAGCCGACATTAATAATCGGCCATTATTAATCCACTCCGATGAAGTGGATTCGCCGATCCGATGGACCCATCGATGAACTGTACTTTCTCAGCTCCTTGCAACATGTCTCCATTTCTCCTCCGCACTATCCTGTTGCAACTGACGGAGTCCTCTGCGGATGTCTGCCCGACCCAATGACATTGCCCGCATCGCCAACCTTGTCTCTGCTCATTCCAAGCCCCAGCCACTCCCGGGAATGATACCGCGCGAGCGGGTCTCCCGAGCCTGCGAACACTGTCGGGCCCGCAAAATCAAATGTAACGGTCAGCGGCCGTGCAACGCCTGTGCCCGACATCCGGAGCGATGTGTTTATCGCACGGGGAACATCCGCCAGCGGAAAAGCCGTCGGCCCCAGGAACCATCGCGGCCCCCAGCCCTACTCCCCCTCCCGGCCACCCAGTCGCCCACCACTCCTAGTGACTGGTCGGGCAGTTTGAGCGATGATCCTATTCAGTACAAGCGGCATCATGAGCTCCGTGCCGGTATCGGCATGCAAAATCCCGAAACGGGGGCTTTTCAATTCTACGGTATGATCTCCATCGCTCATCTGGACGCTACTAACTGATTAGGGCCTTCTTCTGGCTTCTGCTTTATTCATCGGGTCTACCAGCGCATCAAGCAGGGCTCGTCCAGTGAGCCGCTGTTGGCCCGTCGCAGCGGCGCCATCCCGGATGCCATCCAGCGGTTTGGGATGGAGCGCTTCATGTTTGCCCGGGGGGACTCCGATCCGCGTCGGACTCAATGGCCGTCCGAGATGTTTCTTCCCCGGGATCTGGGCGACCAGTTCATCGAGGCCTATTTCCGGGTCATGCATCCGCAGATTCCAGTCCTGATCCAGTCGGAGATTGTCGATGCCTGGACCCAGATGTGGGAGTCGCCGGTGCGCGACCGCGGGGTGAAAAATCAGGATATCCTGTTCATGGTGCTGGCCATCGGCGCGCGTGTCGCCAATTTAAAGGGGAAGCAGTCTGAAAGCAGCGTCGAAGCGTGGGCAGAGTATTTCTCCAGTCGTGTATCTGAGGGGCCGATCTTCCTGCAAGAGCCGAGCATCCGTGGCGTGCACTTGATGCTGTTGAAGGTGCGTTGCCCTGTCTTGAATTACATCTGCTAACACATGGCAGTCAATGTACGCCTTGCAACTGATGCGCCAGAACGATGCCTATCTCTACTTAGGACACGCCACCCGCACCTGTCTTGTGCTGGGCCTGCACCGCTCCCAGGTTACTGACGGTCGCGATCCCAATATGCACCGGCTGCGGTTGACCTTTTGGACGGTCTTTTTTTGCGAGCGCATCTCCTCGCTGTACATGGGTCGTCCGTCCAGTCTGGCCGACCGGCAAATCGACACGGCCTATCCGGAGGACCTAGCATATCCCTCGGACATCTCCCACGCCCCGATGCAGGAGTGTGCCTTTATCCGCGCCATGGCCGAGATCTCCAAACTGGCGGACCGCATTTCTATTGAGATTTACTCTCCTGCTAGCATCAAATGTATGGCGGACCTGGCCAAGCTCAACCAGACCAGTCTGGAATGCGACGCTGCCTTGCAAGCCATTAACCCGACCTTACCGTCCTACCTCCACTTTTTCGACGACTGCGTCCCAATCGGCGAGCCGTGGCAGGAGATCCAGCGCCTGGGTCTTGGGTTCTGCTATTATGTCGTCCGCATGCTCCTCTTTCGTCCTTGCCTTGTCATGAGCACCTTTTTCTCGTCCGTCAGCGAAGCACAGATCGCCACCGGCTGCGCCGAGCTTCAATCGTGCATCAACGCCTCTACTTCCGCCGCTTGCAACCTGGTCCATCTGGCTCACGACGTATATTTCCGGCGCTTCCCAGACATCCGCTACGACGGAGCGCTCGCCTCGTTCCTGATCTCCGCGTGTCTCACGTTACTCTACGACGTGCCCAATCTGGGTAACGACCCTGTCCGGGCGCGCAAGACGTTTACGGTCGTCGAAAAGGCCATCAAGTGTTTGGATGAGATCGAGCATACGGGATACACGTCCGGCAAGGCGTTGAGCTTGGATCTGATGAAGGTGGCCAAGCAGGCGGTGCTTGCGGCGGATCCGGTGGTGGATACGAATCAGGTTTTAGTGGATGAGTTTCCGTGGTTAGAGTAGGTATTCCCCTTTTGTTGTTGAGTGGTGCTGACTTGGCAGGGATTGGTCGTCTGCTGTGGCTTGTGGGGGTAATCTCGATCCGTCGACGTATGCGTTTCCCCAGGCGGAGATGCCGGTCCTGGGGGCGTTGGAGGGGAACGGGGCGGGTTGGATTGAGTCGGAGGGGAATTATCTCTGGTCGGGGAATGGGTTTGCTCCGAATTCGATGCCGGGGTGTTTCTTCTAGTTGGCAAAAAAACAGGATAGAGCAGATAGAGAGCACAGATCAATAGATTATTTTCCGACGGCGCCTATTCCCGCCTTGTACCAGGGCCACGTTCCCTGCCGCTGAAACGTTTCACTACGCTGTTCAGCCCTAATTCTCCCTCCAATGCGCAGTCTGCTTTACGCGCCCTGCATCCTGGCCGCGGTCCGAGCTCCTTGTGAGCCCCATCCAGGGGTTATATCTATACAGCGTCGACCCTGTTCCCTCCTCATCGTCCACCGTCCCAATGTCTGATTCCACCCGGCCCGTGCCATGGGCCCATCATCTCATCTACCTGCTGCTGCTCTTGCCTACCGGACTCAGCATCACCCTTCTCCTTAGCGACTCCCGCCACTGGACCCTGACCGGTGATCTGTACACCTTCATCAATACGTACCGAACGTCTGTCCAAACCGCTATTCAGATCCTGGCCACACTGCTCAGCACCATCCAGCTGGTCATCATCTGCCGGCTCATCAACCATGCCACCCGCATCCTCTTCAGCCGACCAACCCACCACACCACCCTCAACGACTTAGCCCTATGGTCCTCCCTATCCACCCCCACCACCAACTTCTCCCTCCCCCTACCTCAAATCCTCCTCACCCTCATCCTGGCCAACCTCTCCGCCGTCCTGTCCGCGCTCTGGACCGGCGCCCTCACCCCCACCTCCGCCACCACCCTCACCAACACCACCATCTCCATTCCCTCCTACGCCAACCGCACCTTCATCAAAGAATACCCCTCCCAAATCGACAACACTGGCCCATCCCTCCGCACCACGCGGGGCTACTTCACCTACTCGGTCGGCGTCGGCCTCCTCACCTCGCTCGTCTCCTCCGCCTCCACCGCCTCCCCCCTCACGGGGACCCTCCGCAACCGCACGCACGCCAAACTCGACTCCACGGGCTACAGCTACACCGGCCGCTCCTACGGCGTGGGAAGCCCCGTCGGGCTCACCGACTCGGCCGTCTCCTTCTACCCGTGGGCCGCCAACTACACCTACCACGAACGGGGCTACGACGCTCAGATCGACTGCATCTACAACGCCTCCTCCCAATTCATCCTCCAAGACACCTTCTACAACGCCCTCTACGACGCCCGGGGGGCCCTCCCAGACAGCAACACCTCCTCCGCGGAGTACTCCGTCTACACGGGTTGGTCCACCGATACCATCGTCGCCCTCGGCGTCGCCAGCGATCCGATTGCCTATACCAAGACCCGGTACGTCGCGGCCGCGGCAGGCGCATCCTACCGTGCCTTGAATGCCAGTCAATGTCTCGTCACCTTCATCCCCACATGGTTCCAAGTCGACGTCGCCGTCAAAGACAAGACCATCTCCATCTCCAAACTCAACACCTCCTCCCCCTCGCAACGCGAAGAGGAAACCGACATCGACCCAACCAACCGCACCATCCACGTCGTCATGCGCCAACTCGAACTCATCTCCAACGACCTCACCTCCTTCTACCGCTCCACGCTCGGTGACGCCTTCAACACCAGTATCGCTGACGCCACTACCAACCTCAACTCCACCTCCCCTTCCCCTTCCCACCCCATCTCCAATACATCTGCTGCTCTGACAGGGATCCAAAACACCTACATCTCCCTCCTCGACGACATTCTCTCCTGCTACGCCTCCGCGCAACTCATCGTCGGGAACTTTACCCTCCCGGCTACCGCGACCGTGCGGATCGATGCGTTGCGGCTGGGCTCGCGGGTGTATATTATTGCTGTGTTTGTGGTGAGTTTGCTGGTTGTGGGGATCGTGGGGATGGAGGCGGGACGGACGAAGGGATGGAGGAATTTGCCCGGGTTTGATTTTCTGGATGCGAGGATGTTGGTGTTGGGGGCGGCGAATGGGGGGAGGGGGGTCGCGGAGAGGGCGGCGGAACGG